AGTACCGCGTGATTAAGTGAAATTAAATCATGATTTGATTCGTCTGATACTCTTGGCAGAAAATTAATATTAATAATTAATATGCCGAGTGAACGAAGATGAAATTGTAATGTATTCACATGGAAATAATGTGATATACAATACAATTTACAATACAATACAATACAATACAATTAATACCATGTTTGTAGGGCGTACATTCCAGTTTCTAAATATGATTACACATTTAAGACATGCATGCAGTGATATTGTTTGGATAGTTACCGACCAGTCATTCGCGTACGTAGATGAAGAAACCAAGACAGTTTCAAAGAGAAACGGAAGACATTACATCATACATGTCTAGTTAAAAAACAGGATTATATTTATAATCTGAAAATCTGTATTTTTGAAGAAATTTTGGGGGTGAAAATCTGTTTTTCGTCTTCGGGATTTAGCTAAAAAGTAATTGGAGAAAAATCACGGTTACAAAACTGAATCAACAATTCTAAAAAATTCGGATTTCTAAAAATATATCGGGATAAATCAAAACGGTTGAGATTACTTCATTTACAAGTTTATATCAAATTAGTTTTACAGTTAACATCAACGGTAATGTCTCAGACACTAATATTGGGGATATTTCATTTGTGTGATCGTGGCATAAGCAACGACTAAGATTTGTTTTGAATTTACAAAAATGTATTTAACTTCATTCAAAATTGAGCTAGACGCTTCAAATAAAAAAAAACATTTTAAGGCTGTTCTCTTCCTCTATCATCATCATGGTCATATTTTCAATGGTTATGGGGGAGGGTGCGATCGCACCATGGCACCACCTCCTGGCTACGCCTATGACATTGTAAGACGTAACAATTTACACTTCAGTGGACGCTTCGTCGAAAATTGGGATAACTTAAATTATGCAATCAAAACCTTACACGTTGCATCATGTAAAATAACACACGTCACCTCTCTACTAAAGTAACGATAGCTATTTACAGATTTAAATCACAATCGAAATAATTCACGTACCAATATACGAACTATTGAAAATACAGTATTCATTGATTTGCCATGTTTTTCAAATATAAAAAGCTTTCTAATGATATTTAACTTAATATGTTATTATGTTATTAATATGTTAAATTTTTACCAATATACGAACTATTGAAAATACAGTATTCATTGATTTGCCATGTTTTTCAAATTTAAAAAGCTTTCTAATGATATTTAACTTAATATGTTATTATGTTATTAATATGTTAAATTTTCGTATTTTTTGTTTTTCTGGGTACCCGGTTTTTTCGACCGGGTACGGTTTTCTCGACCGGGTACCAAGTTGGAACCCAGTATGGAGGATTTAGTACCCGGTACCCGGTACCCGGTACCCGGTTTTTTCTACAAACCCTCACCGACACACCCCTTACTTATAATGTATTCATTTCAACTGCTGAATTCAGCAATCCTTACACCATAATTCAAGCAAAATGTTGCAAGTCACGATCAAAGATGCAAGTACTGTTGAAATTAAGGTAATGAAACCACTCCAATGTGGTTGCCTCGTTCACAAAAGGCTTCCCATTCATATTCTAACACTCTTGGTATACGCAGCTAACGAAAATTGACCGGTACGGGTCAAAAGCTGGACCGGTACGGGTTAACGGTTTTATTTGAATTTAAAACAGCCATAACTTGCTCAATATCAACCCGTACCGGTCCAGCTTTTGACCCGTACCGGTCAATTTTCGTTAGCTGCGTATACCAAGGGTGTATAAACTAGCAGGGTACCCATTGGGAATGTAAATCCCCGGTTGTTCAACTTTTGTACTGGGGCACTCCTGAGTATTTAGACAGAATATATCAATATAATTAGGCTGGGTCTCAATTTCAGGAACATACCTAATTTTTGGAAAATGGGCATTTAGAAAAAATGGGCCTAGATTTTAAAAATTGGGTCCATATTTTTAAAAAATGGGTCAAAACTTTCAACGAGCCAACATTTTAGGACTCTCTTTTTCCATCCTATCATTTTTCCAGCAAAATTTTATTTTTTGAACCCTCTCTTGTGAATTATAAGATATGATAAAATAAGCGATCTCGGAACACGTCTTGGGTTGTCATAACAGTTGGGCTTTCACAGTCGTACATTAAAAATGTCATCATCCGACAGTGAAGGCCAACCGGGGAGTTTCCTTTCAATTTTAAGATGAGATGTTACAAAACCATAGATCTATTTTAAATGCTATAGGTTTGGATTATATTCTATTGAAATTCTATCGCTGTTAAACTTGACTATGTACAGTATCTCAGTGCTTATTGATATAGATGTTGAAGGACTCCAAATCCAGGTTCTTTTTCTTTCCCAGATTCTCATTGGACACAAGTTTCCGACTGGGGCGAGGATGAAAAATGTCCAAACTGTATTTTTATTTTTCTGTAACTTTTTGTTATTATGCATGGGTTTCAATAAAATTTCGTAGGGGACTAAATCAATTTTTGCCCACAATCAATCCTATTTATGGCAAAAGTGTATAAGATAATAATGTTCTATTCAATAGAGGTGAATCAAAAACCTTGCATCCTACAGATGGACCGATTTAACATGAAGAACCGTAGGGAATGTATGCCAAATCCTGGGGTGAAACCATGGTTCATGTTTTATCTGATCTCCATTATATACCCATTCTGATTTATCAGAGTCTAAATGGAGACTGACACAATGCATTATACTTGAATTCAATCAATCTTTCAGGGAGTGAGAATTCAAATGTTCATTGTTACATTTAGCGCACTTGTAACTTCAAATAAAAACAGATTTGAAATAGCTAGCCACACGTACTCGAAACGTTTGATTCACTTCTGCTAAAGAAGACAATGCGAGGTGAGCTTTCTGGTAGTTGTGCCGTGTGGCTGGCTACTTCATATCATAATAACAAAAAACGTACATATTATGATAGTAGTGGTATTCTGCCATTCAATGCGTTTCATTTAATTTATCACCACCCGAACGTCTGATTTAATCCTGCTGGAAAGGGGATTGAAGAAAACAAGCATAAGCTTTCCATTGAAGAGCTGTATATGTGGCTAGTTATTTCAAATCAATGTAATGTCATCAGTCCACATAAATATTTCGTTCTATCATGTAAGTTCAACATATTACATTTAATTTTCTTTAATATTTAATTCAATTCTGCTATAATTTGGTTTCTTCTTTGACATGACCATTTTCTTAAAATGTATACTATCAATTTCAGCAGTCCCACTTATATATTTTTAAGATCCACCACTTTTCAAGAGGAATATTAGCTGAAATAATGTTCATTCGGGGGGTTTCTTTGGAGATACTAGTAATAAAAATACACGATAATCTTCAATGATAAAATATCCAAACTTATTTAATTGTTCCGTGAACGTATATTTTCTTTTCATTATTCTAATATAACTAATGAGAATAGATGACAAAATCAATTAAATGCGTACAGTCTTTTTGTCCTTATTTGGAATCACAATGTAAAATTGCCCGTTTCTGCTATATCGTGGTGCATTTGGTAAGCCACGCCTTCCCCATCTTCGTCTTTCTAGACGCGATGTTAAGTGAGAAAGGATGCCAGTCCGAAACCCAAATATTTTTTAATACATTGATTCCACGTTTAGCCATGTTTATTGGAATTATTTTGTTTCAACATGGGCTTTCAACTAGTAATTGAAAACCCATGGTTTCAAGCATCCACTCTGTATTTTTTGCTGCATTATGTATTCCTTTGAATGAAATGCCCATTGAAGCAAAAACGTACAAGACCCGCCAGTTTGAATAAATTACGATAAGCTTATTTTTGGCCGCCTTGATAAAAGGTTATGTGACGCATTTTAATTTTAAATATGTCATCCATATTATGATCAGGTTATCGAATAGTACAAGGTACCCATGAGGTGTCTTTACAATTACAATACAAATACTGTGTAGATTGTAAAAGATAGTCACTAATAGTTTAAAGTAGAACAGTTAGGCAGCAGTGCTGTGTTTTGTTGTGCTTATGCCAGGGTCACATTTTCCCCGATCCATCGGCCGGCGTCCGGGTGCCATAGTAAAAATCGAAGCAAATGTGACCAAGGCATTAGTTATGCAACTTGTAACACATACACATATGAGTTAGATGAGACGCATTGCACTTTTTAAGGATATGGGACTATTTGCCTGTTTCGGGAGTAATGGCGCGATGGTTATAATTTTTTTTGCGTTTGGAAAGGTTTATATGGTAAATCTGATACTCTTTCAAATAGTCAAGACATAACCCTTTTCAAGAGTTCGATTTCACAGGAGAACTAATCTATAATAATTTAGTGATAAATAATCTTTCAATCCATCCACTTGGACTTGGTCCATAAATTAATATTCTATAAGAAAACTGCAGTCACACAATTTCATACCACACGAGTTTCTGGTATTAATTTTGTATTCAAACTCCCATGAAAGTCCATGTCACCTACTTTTGGGGAATACAACCAGAACGAATGGCGAGGGTTCTCTAGATCTACTATTTTATAACAGGACCTACTTTCTGATAAAATCGAACATCTATCCTCTACTAACTTTACAGGGGTACCATCTATTATCAGTTTTCAATTGGTGGAAGATGGTCGTCTGATCCTCAATTGATCAACAATTTTATGAAAATAGAGTTGTCTGCATTATCAGAATCAAAACTCTTAAAATTGTCTATGATCCGACTTAGAAGGCTGGAATTCCTCCTAACACATGGGACCCAGAATATTTCCTACTCAAAGCACTTCTTGAGATGGCATTTTCCCCCCTGTGCTCACCATCCACCTGGCAAACTAATCACAATTATGCACCCATTAGAGTAATAACAGGGCATTAACATGCAAAATGTCACCACCAAACCATTTGTTACAGGCGCTAAACACCAAATGACAAACACCATCCACAAAAGTTGAAGACTACAACAATATGTCACAACTTATGGTGGTGACATAAAAATAGTAAAATAAAAATATCTTTAATGTGGATAATTTGAAATTTTGAATATATTTCATTTTAATTTTTTATAAACATCTGAACTTAACATTGAATGTTCAATAGTTTATGCATTTAGTGAAATTTTTGTAATTTACATGACAACATTTAACAAACATAAACCGTGATCCATAGAAATACCTAGGATTTAGAGATACTGTAATGTGTATGGTACATAATTCCATAAATATTCATTCAAATATTCATTGTGAAATGAAAAAATATATATTGCAACATTTTTTTTTATTTCCCTGGGTGATCTAAGATCACATATCAGTGTTTTGACTAAAGTTTTGAAGACTACAAATAGGCCAGCCAGGTATATGACATTTTCTAAATATTATTCTACACATTTAGGCTATACACTTATAGTAACTTTGCACTATATCAAAAGTCAAATATAGGTGGAGCTCATATATCATTTACAGATCATTTCTTCTTCTTTGGTTTTACAGCCTGTTGCGGCGAGCTCGTATTTTTTGCAGTGTCATCAATTTTTGGTCTAGGTTTCTGCCACTGTATTGGGTTGCTTCTGTACATTGGCCAGGGGGGTAATGTTATCTGAAGTTGTAAAAGTTAAAATGTTAATTCATTTTACGACACGGTTCTAACTTTGACCATTAATTTGAATTTTTAACCTACAACATGCTTGAAAATCAAGGATTACGAGTCTTATACTGCACTGTTTTTCTTCAAACTTGCACCATTCAAATCATAACAAAAATGCCTTTCTGTTGTAGCTTCTAACAGCTGGGGACCAACACGCTGCTAAAACGAGGGACTCTTAACAATAAAGCAATGCACCGAGTTTGAAGAAATATGTTCCTTGATTTTCAAACATCTGGTAGGTCAAAGATTCAAATTAAAGGTCGAATTGAGTACAGCATGTTTATTATTTTAGAAACATTTTTATATAGTTTGAGCCATGCTATTTCATAAAATAAAAGATTTCATATAAAATGTATACTTATTCAATAACATAATGTCAATATAGACATGGGCGTAGTGCTATTTTTCTAAGAAGTACGCCACCACCACGGGAACAAGAGTTGAGTGGATCAAAAAACGAGCATTCAGGGGGGAAAATTTTGAAATTTGGTTGTATTTGGAGTGAATTTGCAACCATCTGGTACGCCTGTGCGTACCCAGCGTACCGGCCGCTACGCCCATGATAGATATACTATATTTATTATTGACAAGTTTCTATAAATCTGCTGAAAAATTTCAAATAGCTTTGAAAATAAATAGGACCAAAATATCCTGGTTACAAAATAGTATGTTCTACTTCACAACCTAAACTTACTATGCAACTTAAAGCAAATCCTGCTCCCAGTATATAGACTGTCTGAGAAAACTGTTGGCAAGCATATCCCCATAGAAATCCTACAATCTGAAAAACAAGGAGTGTTATTAATCAAGAACAATATAGGCCCAGATGGGTGCTACAATAAATGCATCTTCATGCCCAAATACTTTTAACAGTGAAATCTGTAAAATGGAGCACCTCTAGAAGTGGAACACTTTTCAGAGTCCCAAGATGAACTGACTTAATGTTAAATGAACCAAGTGGAACAGTTCACAAGTAGAACACTTTTTATTTTTTAGGGGTACCAAAATTTTCCAAATGTGTCCAACTTAGACATATTTAACTATTATATAAGGATGTCACCCAGGGACAAAAATATTTCGGGACAAGACGGGACATAATCTGGCAGAGAAGTTATACGACAGAAAATTCTCGTCTAGATCATATTTATCGTGCATTTGGAAAGTTTTAGGGTCTGTAGAGGAGAAGTAGTATACCCTTAACCATGTTAACATTGACTGAAATCTTCGGTATACGGGGGTTGTCCCTCGAGACTACTATTATATATAGAGGTTCTTATATGAGTACCCGTGCAAGATCGTCCATTCTTGATGAGCTTTGATAATTCTTCTTTATCGAGTCGCAGACGAGATAAAGAAACATTATCAAAGCGAGTCAAGAATGGACGATATTGCACTGGTACGAGTATAAGAAAGTTTCTCTCATATGACTCTGTATTATGCCATATTTTCACCTTTTTATGATAAAACAGAGTGAAAAATAGCTTCAAATTAATGGAACTTCATCGTTCAATTGTTATGACGTCATAACAATGTTGTAAAAACACCTGGTTACGCGTGACAACAAAGTCTGATTGTTAAGACGTCACAACTTATTTTGTAGAATGAGCATGGATACTCATAGTAACGGTGTATCAGTTGTCATGTTGATGATGTTTTTAAACCCGTGATGTCATAAATAAATCTTATCTTGCACGTGTGACTTTTTAGGATAAAAGATGGCAATATCTTGCATGGGGTAAAGATGGCTCTATCTTTGTTAGTCATATGAGAAAATATAATTCTTTTTGAGACCAAATGAACACACATTTCATATAATTTTCTAGTACTGCAAAGTTCCTTCCAAATGAGGGAGGATTTATACAGATTTATTTTTCATAACACAAGAAAATATTTGACAACCGTTTACAAGTAAAATAAGTAAATTCGAGGGCCTTACATGTTACAGTAATTCCTGTGAGAGTTAAAGGACATTTCTATATTTTAATTCAATTTTTAATAATTTAATACTGTATATACATAACTTAAAGTTGTAAATCTAAGAAGAATTAAAATTTTTATATAAAGTTACAGTAAATTGGTACACAGTGACAGCTCTCTCTTGTAGATACCCTTAAGCTAATAGTTCAAAGTATATAATTATTGTACTTACAGCAAATAATACTATGATGACTTGGAATGTTCTCTCTGCTTTTTTCTGGCCTTCATAATCCTGAAACAGAAGGTTAAGCTGAGTCTCTAAAATTATTCTTCATCATATATAAACTAATCAATGACTATTCGGGGGAGGGGGAGGAAATAAGTTAAAAAATAGTACCGTGGGTGCTGGGCTCACATTGTGTTGCTCAAAAGTGAATGATGGCTAAAATGACAACAAATAAAAAAAACTGATATAATTTTTTGCCGGCTTTTTGTAACAAAATTATTTTATACAGCTACTCTTTACAAAGACATGGCTTTTTACAATGCAGGACACGTGGAATTATTTGTAAAGCTAGGAAATGGGCCAAAAGTGAATTCTACGAGACAAAAATGGCGACCATTTTGAAAATAGGCAAGCTTTTGAACCAGGAGTCATAGGGGAGTTTTTTGTATTGATGTTGAACAAAAATTACTTAAAACTGGAATCCTATCGATAGGGGTTTTAGGCAAATGGTCCAAAAGAGGATTTCGCAAGACAGATGGACAAATCATACAACTACTCTTTACAGTGACATGGCTTTTTACAATGTAGGACACCTGAAATTATTTGTAAACCTAGGAAATGGGCCAAAAGTGAGTTTCGCAAGACTAAAATAGGGACCATTTTGAAAATAGGCGAGATTTTGAACCAGGAGTCATAGAGGAGTTTTTTGTATTGATGTTGAACAAAAATAACTTAAAACGGGAATCCTATCGACAGGGGTTTTAAAAAGTGCCACTATTGTTGACGGACGGACGCACGCATGGACAGACAGACAGACAAGTGAGTGATTGCAAAAGCTCACCATGTGAGCTAATAAAAATAGAACTCAAATGGGCCTACCAAATTGAACAAATGTTTTCATGAATCGCCATGTTTGTGATCCAAGGAGGATTGACTCCCAGAATGCAACACCAGTTAACCTTATTTACTCGTGACAGGTTTCAAAATGGCAGAACGGCATTACGAAAGTTGGCACGTATCATGTTGCATTCTGGGAGCCAATCCTCATTGTGGCGTAATCGGGCTCCAAAATCACCTCAAAATTTGAAGAGTCTGAATTAATGACTTACTAGAACGGAGAAAATAGAGCAATGAATACACTGAGGTAAGGATTTATTACATGTGCGACAGCATGTAATTTTCATAGCTACATGTATAGTAATTCTTTATGTTCCCCACTGTAGCCAGAATTGGCTAGACTCGAGTAACCCGTCATGGTTTATTTACAGTGAACAACTAGGATTTGGACTGCTCAATCTTATTTCTAATCTATGTATAGAAGAGCAAGTAATACATTCTTCTGTAATAATCTGTACATTAGATCATTGTTGCTGCATGATGATGTGTACTTCATTCACAGCAGCATCCATGAGTGAAAATCAACCTAAAATATTGACCTTTATTTCAGAGCAAAAATGGGATAATTACTTTAACTTTTGCTACCAACAGAAAGTCTGATAAGTAAACTTTTACTTTACCATGTGAACTGGAATTTTCCTAATGGAATCAGGGAGTAAACCAATGATAGAATCCATTTTCAAAATATTACTTTCTGTTTTTGAGTTCTCGTTTTGCTCGAGACTTGGACGAGACTTCCGGTAAGCAAAAATCAGAAAACCAAAAAGAAAGAAAGAATCGCTTTATTGCACTGTATTGCGGATAGTGCGCCACTGGTATTACAAACATCCACATTTCCTTAAATTGTAAGTACTATTTATTTATTGAAGCCTACAATCTATCGTTGTTATCCCTAAATGATTGTCTAAAGAATCATGTGCATTGGATTTTTCTTTTTCAACATCACAGATCATCATGATCATGATGATTTACCTTCTTCTAAGGCCACCCTATCGTGGCCTTCGTCCAAAGATAAATTTCTGCATGTATAACGGGTCAAGTCGTAATCATAAAATTTGAAATCAAATGTCCACCATTTTTCCACATAACAATCTGAATTGCGAGTTTTGGACTTATTACCTCACCAAAAATTCCAAAACACACATGAAGTGATCAGTGTATTAGTTCACATCTTCTGCATCGCTAACTTAGAATTTACAGCCAGGTACTAATGTCAGACATTTAACGACATTTCGTCCAGTTTTTGAATATCAGAGTCGGGGCAATATGCGCGAGATTAGGTTTTTAGTTGGTTCGGTTTTTCATTAAAGGAAGCACTTCATTCCCATGATTCAAAGTGCTTTTCTGCCATCGGTTTGGTTTAAGGACAGGGTGCATGTTCGGAAATTTTCTGCATTCCTCAATTGAGTCACATGTTATTTTTCAAACAAGAATAACTCCTTCCCCACATTGTCTACATCTTCCAAGTTTGCACAAAGAGTGCACTTATGTGCCTAGAAAAGCCTTGTGAGAAGGTTTGTTTTGTAAAAAGTAAAAAAAATGAGAAATTTCAGTGAAAAAAAATTCTGAAAATTTTCTGATTTTTTTCACTGAATTTTCTTGTTTTTCATACACTTTATCAAAACATTCTTCTCACAAGTCTTTTCTAGGCACATAGGTGCACTCTTTGTGCAAAACTGGAAGACATAGACAATGTGGGGAAGGAGTTATTCTTGTTTGAAAAATAACATGTGACTCAATTGAGGAAAGCAGAAAATTTCCCATCATGCACCCTGACCTTAAGTTTGTACAACACACGTCTACAAATCCGGGAAGGTTGATATTATGTCATTACATTTGTTTTGGGTGTATAATTTTTGTTTTGACACTAAATAAAAATATTCCCGCACTATATGGTGCATCATGGGTTGGGACTGCTGTGAAATAATGAACGTAAGTGACATCTAACTCAAATAAAATGTTCTTATAAGTTATTGATTGCGCATGCGTTATAATAATTTGAACCAATTAAATTGCTTGATTTAATGCGCATGCGCTAAAAACCGAACCAAAAAATGGAATCTCGTGCAGATTGCCTCTAGTGGAATATCACCATTTTTTGGAGCCATTTTGTTTTAATTTTAGATGACATCCCGACGAAATCATGCAATATCTCATCAAGGAGCTGAGCCGGTCGCATTTTGATTAATGATTTATCTGGCGAATTTTAGAATATTCAATAAATTTGACACGCCGGCCAGCTTTTTTCAAATGGAGTTCACAGTATTCCAGTTGAAATTACATCTAGCCTCGAGTAATCTAGAGACTCGAGTAAATGATGATGATGATCATGATCATCATTGATCATCATGCCATTCACGGTGACCTAATTCAAAGATTCCGACAAGATTCTTTTGGATCAGGATGAGTCACTTGCAAAAATACACAGGTGCTCCCTGGGTAATAAGAGTGTCAGGCTTCCCTCTAAGTAAGTATTTCAAAAAGGTTGGCCAAGAATCAAGTCAATAGTTGGAGCTAAGTATCCATTTTTAGTCAAATTCGTCCCGATTTGACCTAGTTTTGAACTTCTGGTTGAAAATTGACAAAATATTGCAAAGAATGAAATAAAATCTGAAGAATTTATTTAATTTACACCTTATCACCACACCTAGACATCTATTTTCAGCGTCATTTGAAAGAATATACCCAAGAGGACTTGTTAGCGAGGTAATTGTTGTGGATGTATCTCAGTCCATAGTAAACCGAATTAGTTACTTTTTGCATCATTTTGACCGCTGGCATACCGAGATTAAACTGTATAAAGGCTAGCTTGGCTAGCTTGAAGAACTACTTTATTTTTTTCTATTTTTTTTATATTATACTTAAATTACAAAATAGGTAGGGTAAAGAATACTGTATACAGTATGTAAAAGTCATTTGATCTTGTTCCAGAAGCAATATTTTTTTTTTTATCGCCTAGAATTCCTTTAAATTACAGTGTCCATACCTTATTTACTCAAACCAAAAAGGTAGAAATAGAAAGATGAAGGTCTCAGCTATAGATTAAGCACAAGATCTGTCATGGGGAAGTAGGTATGCTTTGAAGGGTGGTCACTTTTTTGAAATTTTACGATTTTGTGTCTCCCCATCTTTAAGATCTGGCCGGCATCTATGTGATTACTCCATGGATAGTGGGAAGTTTTCTTATAAGTGATTATATACAGAATTTTATAAAAGTTAAAATCCCCTTCCATATCTTCATGGCTATTGCACATGTGCCTTATATGCATCTTGCGATCTGACAAAAAATTACAAAATAATGCATAGCGGATCTGAATGTAGGAGTGATGGGCAGCATCAGAATACCATATTTATTTTTATTAGATGATCTAAGATGTTAATACATGTCCCTAATGTCCAGTCATAAATTCCGATGTATAGTGACATTTTCTATTTGTGTTTTTCAGGTTACGAGATCGTACACCTCATAGTAATGTCAGTCCGCAGAACCAGGGAGGATTCTGGGAGTCCAGTAGAGGATGAGACTCCAGTTCCCCCTGTTAAGAAAATAAAGTCGCTGTTTGATACAGATTTCTCAACATCCAACAATAAAGAGAAATCAAACAATAGTAATAACTTTAGACAGCAAGAATCTATCGAATCACTTGTAGCAAAGTTACGAGCTAAAATACCCGATATTGAAGAAGCCATTGAAAAACTTACAAATGCTAAAAGTGAAATAAGGAATAGTAGAGAACAGTTGGCAAAGGACATAACTAACCGGCATAAGATATTGAAAATGTGTTTAGATACCTACTCATCTGATCTCTTGAAGTCTATTGAAGGCACATATAAGGATGGCCAGAAGCTGATCAGTGATCAGCTACAACGATTGAAAAATAACTTTAAGGTTACGGAGGCACTCTGTGCATCTGCAGAAACCGTGTTTGCCCAAGATGATCTTGATGTGGAAGATTTACGCCATAAACTAAAAGAACAGTTTCTTTCTGCGCAAGCTGAATTTGTTCGCTCCATGTCTATGCATGTCTCGGTTATATTTCAAGAAGGCCCAATGAAGGAGGCTGATTTTCCTAAAAGTTTTGGAATATTGAGTTCTGTGGGTGGGGGAACCCTTGCTAAAGCTGTCTTGGTGAAAGAGTTTACGTCAACTACCGACAGAGACCCCCAGAGTAGCTGGCCCACTGGCCTTGCAGTGAAAGCCAATGGTGATATTGTGGTGGTCGATAGGAAAAACAGGCGTGTGAAAACATTCAACACAAATGGGAAGATTCAAAGTTTCATCGTGGAGCAGTTAGTCGGTGGAACATTTCAGTTTGGCCTCCCCCAGGACATATGTATCTTACAAAATGGCCATATGCTGATAACAGATACACAGGATACACAATCTAACGTGAAAGTGTTCAATTCCGACAACACTTTCGTTCGTCAGTTTGAAGGTCATTTCTGTGTACCACATGGCATTGCTGTCAACACGAGTGGCGATCTTGTGATTTGTGATTGGCGAACCCCAAGCATCTATATCTGTGAGAATGATTCCACCCCAAAGAATGTCATGATGCAGACTGGCTTTCCATTGGGAAAGGCGGCTGCGTACTGCGCTGCGAACATCAACAATGACATCATTGTCACTTACCCACAATGTGGCACCATAAAGATTTTCAATGAGGATGGCTTCTTGCGTAAAGTCATCACAGAATGTAAAGGTGTCAAGCTGAGATTCCCATGTGGAGTATGTACAGACAGGCACGGTCACATTTTAGTTGCTGATATGTATTGGAATCAAGTGTTGCTGTTCAACATTGACGGAGAATTCATCACGTGCCTGGCCAACATTGATGATGGCCTGAGGCACCCTCAGTCGATTACTGTGAATAACGAGGGCCAGATCATGGTTGGGGAAGAGACAAGCCAGATTAAAATATTCAAATACATGGATACAGACACTACTGAGTAAACAGTGCAAAATTTGATAAATGTGATCAATGAGACATTGCTTTGGAATTATTTAATTTAAGATTTGATTGTTTCATTTTGGAATCTACAGATTTTATCAGATCATTATTTGAATAGAAAAAGAAACTGAGATGAAGTTATTATGACTTTAGAAATTATGACCCATAGCTTCATTTTGAAACTTGTTGAAGCTCAATTTTATTTTGGTGAAGTGATTTAATGTTTGAAGTCCTTTGTTACACCCTATGCAGACAGAGCCTGTGGGAAATATTGGGTGCGGAGCAAATGAGCGGAGGGTGCGGAGCTAACGGTCATTTTTGAATTTAAATTTGGGATATTTCTGAAACTAAGCCGTTTTGGGACTTCAAATATACCAAGATATGTGTATTTGACACCAAATAGCAATACAATTGTGAAAATAGAAGCGCAATTCATTCTATAGCAATGCAGTGTGCCTTAAACCTTTCCCAGACCTATATATTTTGAAATTATCCTTTTAATACTGAGTCCCCAGCATTCATAAAAAATGGTGTTCAAGGTACACTATCTATACAAATTATTTTTGCATCTTGGAAGCCAGGCAGTATCTGTGTGATTTTATAATAATTCGGAAATGTTTTTCAGATATGAGCCCCCTCTAAATATTGGGTGCGGAGGAGCTCCATAAACGTACCTCCGCACCCAATATTTAGAGGGGGCTCATATCTGAAGAACATTTCCGAATTTTTATAAAATCACACAGATACTGCCTGGCTTCCAAGATGCAATAATAATTTGCATGGGTAGTGTATCTTGAACACCATTTTTTATGAATGCTGGGGACGCAGTATTAAAAGGATAGTCTCAAAATATATAGGTCTGGGAAATGTTTAAGGCATACTGCGTCGCTATAAAATGAATTGCACTACTATTTTCACAATTTTATTGATATTTGGTGTCAAATACACATATCTTGGTATATTTGAAGTCCCAAAACGGCGTAGTTTCAGAAATATCCCAATTTTAAATTCAAAAATGACCGTTAGCTCCGCACCCTCCGCTCATTTGCGCTGCACCCAATATTTCCCACAGGCTCTGTCTGCATAGGGTGTGTTATTAGTCATTGAATTGTTAAGGCAACTGCTTTTAAATAAAAAATTCAAAAGCAATGTTTTATAAACAGTAGAATGGGATAATTAAAATTATTTTTATATCCAGTCATGAGACATTTATTGATTTACACTTAGATAATCTTTCACAATGGACTCGAAAATATGAAGATTAAGTTAAAGCTTAAGCCATACAGCTGGTCAAGATAATTTCAATATTTGACCGTATCAATTATTATTGTGTAGTTTTAGGGGAGGCATCAAAAGATCAATGTCTGATAGAAAACTAAATAAATCTAGTTTGGGGGGGAGGGGGTCAAAGCTATTTCAGTTTGCTATCCGACAAATTTCAACATTTAATTTTTTTGCAATTTCGACTCAAAATGCCTTGGAATGGTTTAAAAATAAAGACTTTACCAGATGCCTTCTTCACCAAGATGCATGCAACATGGAATAATATGCCTATTGTTGTTGGCACATGTTTTAAGAATCATAAATAAGTTATAGTACTGCCCCCATGAAAGTCCAAATTGAGTCGCTAAAACATGTGAAAAGTCCGCGATCAACTTTCATTGTATTTAGTTTTGAGGGGGAGGGGGGGGGGGTCCAACTCAAAACTAGATTTATTTAGTTTCCTATCAGACATTGAACTTTTGATGCCTCCCCTTAGTATCTGATTCTGTATCAACATTATGCAGAAGTATGATATTTTACCATTGACATGTGTGATGTCTCATAGAACGATAGGAGGCATATATATCCCCCCATCCTCATCCTGTAAATGATAAAGGGAAAAAGAGGGGATAAGTTGATTTATACTCTATATGTTGACTTTGCTTTTGAATGTGACATCCTTCCCTGAATAATGACTTATAAGCAGAGTTATCGACAATGAAAACAGTTTTCACTCCACATTGGAAGCATCTTTGCAATTGTTATTTTGACCAGTTGTCTACCTTAAATATTTATATGCCTTCCATATGCCTTCTATTTGCTTCTGAGCTTATTGTACCAATCATTTATGTAAGGTTGATGTAGATTTTATTTGCAGCACAGCTTTGCTATTAAAGTACTGGTACAACATGATATAGTATTAGTTATTAAGTTGAATATATGTTCATCTATGTTGCATGACTGTATCACTATATATTAGTGAGTGATACTGAAAATAAATCTTGAATAATGCCCACTCCCTACGAAGCAAGTAGTGAAAAGCTTTTCTTCATTGAATGATGTAACCTTGACTTTAGACTGTGCTAACACAGACACGTAGGTGGCTTGCGTTACCATAGTGATTAACTGTTCTATGAATTTAATTAGATGTGTGTCCTGTAAAGTCTGAATTTCATCTTACCCATCCTTTGTTCTCTCAGATTGCAGAGAGAATGGAGGGTGATACAGTTGAAGACCATATGAGGTTAAATTACATGTAGTTTAATTATTTATGTCATACTAAGTTCCTATTAAAGTACTCAAAAGTACACATTAGCAAAATAGATGTCACCCTTTTCACAGTTAAAGGAATATTATTGTATTGAACTCATCACATATTTGTAACATTTTTAATGTACATTAATATTCAGTAAAGTAGACTGAATAATTTTAATCTGGAATAGTATGAAAGTTGATCTCAAATGAACTCATGACTGTCTACATGTATGTTGGTATTGGATTATAAAGTAACCTACAATAACAGGTTATTATGTTAACGTGCACTAACACATGTTAATGCACTAATGTAATGGTTCAGAATGATCTGTTATTAGGCTCATAAGCAGAAATTTCTTCGTCTCATCTCTGATTGTTGGAAAATAAATGTTTCAAATAATAGAATTATTTCTGTTTCAACTACTGTAAATTGCTTTAACTTGACAGATTGATAAAACAGCCAAATTAACTCTCCGCCAATTTTTGAAAATGCCCGGTAATATTTTCGTCTTTTCCATATGTTACCTTGCACAAACTATTTTCGAAGATCTATAGAGTCCCTGCTTGTTTAGATAAAACAATCCGATGGCAGAAAAGATAAAATTGTGTTATTGGTGGCGAGCTGTGAAGTGAGTAATACAATTGATTTAATGATCAATTCGCCAAATTAAATAGCAGCCAAAATTTCAAAATTTTTCCCAGCCGCCAAAAGTTGCGCCAAATTAAAGCAATTTACAGTAAGTGATAGCATGAAGCCAAACATTGATTGACTAGGTTCAGTTATTCTGACAAATGCATTCAAAATGAATGCACATTTTCATTACATCCTGAACAATATTTGGATTTAAGTGCAACAATGTATAATCCACCATTATTGAATTTCTTACTGAATGAGTTGAAATATGAGGAAACTACTTTAAAATGTGGCAAAGGAGCAAACATTGGTTGAATGTTTGTGGGAAAGGTGCTAAATAAAGAAATCTTCAAAACACTGCCACCCTTGAGAAACTGAGGTAAATTACTGAATTGCAAAAATGCTTGGGAGCTTCAAAATAAGATATAAAACTAAGACCCCCTTTTTCATGATATGGTAAACATATTATTCAAGATGAGATATTGTATCATCAGATATGTATTAAGAAATAAATTATAGCAAATTAAAGTATGAGATAAGAATTTACAGTAGTTGAGAGACAATGGAGAGTGAGATTTCAATATACAGGTTCTTCACTATGTAGGCTCCCCAAACCCTTAAGTCATATATACTGATTATTGTAAAGATCTTAAAATACATTGAAATGGATAATTTCAATAACAAAGAGCTTTAGCTAAAAGTTCTAGGTAGCCAAAGTAAACAGGGAAGCATATTTACATAATTTTGATTTGCCAATTCCGATTCTTAGCCACATGATCGTACATGTATACCGTATACTTTTTGACCAATCAGGGATGATAAAATGAAGAAATTTATGTCAATCAAAGACCAATGAAATATGAGGATAGGGCTATTGTATTCAATGGGGACTGAAATCCTCTCTTAAAGTAACAAAGTACAGACATTCGCATGAATGACTTTGAAGGGAAAGTGCTTATTTAGTAGACACCCTGTATATTGAGATGGTATGGGAAACAACACGATAGTTGCTGAATTGTAAATACCTGGTATAAGATACCACTTTTGATTTAAATCCAGTTGCGTTATCTGGCCATCACTCCGAGCTATTTATTTCTGCTATTAGTGTTTTCCATTTGGCTTCATTGATTAGTGAAACTTGTAAATGAACTGAGTAAATCTTGGTTAATGCCCAATAAATTAATCCAGGAACTGTTGTGAATAACAGTGTACATACACTTGCCCTCACTGGGAATATTACTGTAGGACTATTAGGGTTGGTGTTCAAATGTTAACATTTAGTGGAAAAACAATCACATTTTGGATGCCATTCTTGTATTAATAACATAATTTCAAAAGATTGATTTGCCATCAATGATTTGAATGATTTTTTTCCAAGCATAACATAAGTAACACCTTCATGAAATTAACCTTGCGCTTTCACAATTGTTGACAATTGAACACTAATTCCTTGGTAGGATGAAAAAATTGTTTTAACATTAATGAATTGAGCTGGTCATTGACAGAGCAATCGCTACATAAATGAAATTTGCCGGGATCTTTCATATTGTCTGTAATGTAATAAAGGTAGAAGTAAATCATAATAAACATGTATATTATCTTGTGTTTTTCTTAAGAGGGATTTTACAGAATTATGAAGAAACAATAAAAGTCTTGAAAGATTAGAGAAGGTCATTTATCATTTTACTCAAGGGATTTGAATGCATTTATTTTGTACATATCTTTCATCATGGCTAAGCCTGATAGAGAATCATAAATTTCAGATTATTGAAAATGAAAGACACTTTTATATTTTACGCTTCATAAGTTGTAGTTTTCCAAAAATCTTGAAAATGATGTTTTTTTTATAGAAAACTTAATTTTGTTAGAAATGATAACAGAATTTCTTTTGGAAATATAAAAATACTACATAGAAAAGTAATGCTAAAAAAGTCTATAGATGATTTTCAAGAATAAAATCCAATTGCATCTCTGCGTAAAATGATGCCAGGAAACCATTGATATGAAAATTGTCATTACTGCCATGTGCAGAGTTTTGTTGTACCAATATGAAAGTATTGCTTTCTTGCAATAAAAACATTCTAGCTTTAGAACTATCCATCTTCATTAGCTGTGTTAACAAGATGACATAAAAGGGCAGAGTTGCACAGCATGAACATGTCACAAGCAGAATACTGGAACTACCACAAAACGATTAATTACTACAAGAAGTTTTTAGACATGAATTATTTATTCTGTGCAATATCCTCAGGTTATAAATGGTATTGTTTACAGGCGAAGTCAGTGGTGGATGACACTATCTAATTTATCTTGTTTTTGTTGAGTGTTGAACTGGTAATATAATAGCTTTTGTAGGACAATTCATCTGCAGATTATCAGTGTTTATTATTCTGTTATTTAGTATTGTTAAAGATGCAAGTAATCTTATTAGCTTAACTGCCAAATTTAATTTATTTTTTTGACACAATTTGATCAGTTTATAAATACATAGAGAAAGGTAACCTTTTCAAATAGTGATCATGTTAATCACAGAACTATTTGTCCATTTTTAAAATTAGTCTTTGTTAAATAAAATCCCGTTTCCATTTTTGCTGCCTCACTTAATTCCCCTTTAGATCTCATACCAATCAAAATCAAAATTAAAAATAAAATTAACATCACCATGTATATGGAATAAGTATAAACATTAATGAAATGCCAGAGGCAAGATACCTGTTGTTAAATTACACCCTATTCATTAATTTAAAACATCTAAATGAGATAGTATTACAATGTATATGAAATCTATGTTTATATGTGTTAACGGGTCCAATTCATACCAGCCTTGAATGAAATAAAAATGAAAGCAATGTATGTGAAATGGTGGAAGATCATTCTCATAGCGTCCATGATGCACCTTCTGTGGATGAGATTACGATTGATGTTATCAGACAATGAATGTTCACCTGCCTACAGTGGTACACAAGAGGCAGAGCAATTGATGGACTCTTTAGCCCATAACTTAAACCCTGCTAGTGAAAATACAGGAAAATCAGAGGCAACATACGTCATAGGAATATCCGTCAGCCAGCAACATGGAGATGAATCCATTAGGAAAACTCTCAGTTCACTAATTGAAGGATTGTCTGCAGAGGAACAAGCTGAAGTTATCATAATTGTTGTAATAGATGGGCAAGCTAAATTTGTTAAAACTTTACATGATGATCTTGTAATGACCTTTGAAGATCCAATAAAATCCGGACTCCTAGAAATTAAGCTGATGCAGAATATCATCAATGGGATTCAGCTTACAGGAGATATTAAGCATAAATCGAGAGATATCCTTCAAGAGATAATAATGATGACATTTGCACATACCAGAGGAAAATATTATCTAAAACTCAGTGATAATGTACTGGCATCCCGAAACTTTATAGGAAACATATCAAAGTTTATTTTTGAGGTCAATACCAATTTGTGGATCAATCTGAAATTCTCAAGTGTTGGTCTAATTGGTAACCTTTATAAGACTCACGACTTGTCATCAATCATAAAAAATCTTGTTTCAACTCCCACTGTGCTCGTTGCTTCACTAGAGGGACTTTTACAGCACTATACCGACAAACGACATCCCCGTTGCCTATCAGAGACTCCCTTGGGGTCTCATTGTTTACAGGAACTGGGATTTTCTTCAATCTCACACTATCCCGCCTTATTCAACCCAATTGAAACATTGAATGGTAAACTAATAAAGACCGAACATAACTTTCCAATAGCGAATGAAAATTGGCCTTGGATGAATGTTCCTGTTTATATCAATCCTCCAGCTGTGATAAAGACCAGTATGAGAGCCTATAAGGATCATACCTTAGAAGCAACTTACATAAACGCTGGATATTTCCATGCCTTTCACCCACAACAAGGTGACTTTATTGAATTTATATTCAAAACACCAGTTATTTTTGAGGAATATTTCCTCCGGTGTGAACATTACAAATATCCTAGGGACATTTTTAAACAGGATACCTATGTGGATGTGCAACTGCCATTACATCTTAATCAAGTCAATAAAAAGACAAACTCAATCAATAAAATGTTGCCCTTAAAAGACAATTATTTCCAAATTGGGCAATTTAACAGTCGTGGTATTGCTGAGGGTTCTCTAGGTAGTCGTATTGGGAAAATTAAAGCTGTACGGATTCGAGTAATTACTAAACATGACGTCATGGTTGTGCTCAGAGAAATTGTTTTTAAAATTCAGTTAGTTCCTGACTCTGCTAGGCCATGTTGTGAACCATATTGGCCATCATAACTCATTAATATCAATGTTTCCACTGTGTCACTGTGAATCATATTGGCCTCACTCAATTGTGTCAATGCCAACCATATTGGCCTAATACTCAATATTGTGTCAGTGTCAACCATACTGGCCTTACTCAATTGTGTCAGTGTCAACCATATTGGCCTTACTCAATTGTGTCAGTGTCAACTATTTTGGCCTTACTCAATTGTGTGTGTCAACCATACTGGCCTTACTCAATATTGTGTCAGCGTCAACCATACTGGCCTTACTCAATTGTGTCAGTGTCAACCATATTGGCCTTACTCAATTGTGTCAGTCTCAACCATATTGGCCTTACTCAATTGTGTCAGTCTCAACCATATTGGCCTTACTCAATTGTGTCAGTGTCAACCATACTGGCCTTCCTCAATTGTGTCAGTGTCAACCATATTGGCCTTACTCAATTGTGTCAGTGTCAACCATACTGGCCTTACTCAATTGTGTCAGTCTCAACCATATGTACCTTACTCAATTGTGTCAGTGTCAAGCATATTGGCCTTACTCAATTGTGTCAGTGTCAACAATTTTGACCTTACTCAATTGTGTGTGTCAACCATACTGGCCTTACTCAATATTGTGTCAGCGTCAACCATACTGGCCTTACTCAATATTGTGTCAGCGTCAACCATACTGGCCTTACTTAATCGTGTCAGTGTCAACCATATTGGCCTTACTCAATTGTGTCAGTGTCAACCATACTGGCCTTACTTAATATTGTGTCAATGTCAACCATATTGGCCTTACTCATTTGTGTCAGTGTCAACCATATTGGCCTTACTCAGTTGTGTTAGTGGAAACCTTATTGGCCTTACTCAATTGTGTCAGTCTCAACCATATTGGCCTTACTCAATTGTGTCAGTGTAAACCTTATTGGCCTTACTCAATATTGTGTCATTGTCAACCATATTGGCCTTACTCAATTTTGTCAGTGTCAACCATATTGGCCTTACTGAATAGTGGCCTTTCCTTATTCATGTAATGTGAACCACAATGGCCCAACTCTTTTGCATCAATATGTCAAGGGTCAACCATATTGGCCTTTCACCCATTCATGTTAATGTTGATCACATGGCCTATCTAATATTATTATGAAAAGTAAAGGGTTTTCAGTGCTCAGTTGTATATGATCCACCAGCTTGTTGAACAAATAAAATAACATAAAACATCAGATTTTGTTTTTAATATCGTGTTGCATCCTGTTTTTGATCAGGTTGAATAATTCAATTGTAATTTTCACTTAACACCAAAGCTCGTTTCATACTTTAAGCAATAAGATTTAACCAATATCCCCTAGAGGTCGTTTCACAGTCATAAACTTACATATGCACTGTACCCCTCTGATTGATTCTATTGTGTTATCAAATTACCGCTGCTCTAGTGCTCTGTATGAGATGTGAGATGTGTTTCCCCAAGGCAGGCTTGTCATTTTTCAATTTGTTCTCATTAATGAGTTTCTGTCTTGATCATAAATAACACCAGGACACTTACAATCTGTTGATTGTATCACTTTGTCTATCTGAGAGACATATAGATATATGAGCATTGCCATAGGAAAACCGGTCTTATCACAAAAATTTAAATTGTGCTACAGAGTCAAAAATGTGCCCAAGATTAAGAGGAAAATGTACTAAATTCAAATCCGTCTTTTTGGTCTATATATGCAAGGAAAAAATTAAGACACAAGCCATGGCTAATTTGAAAGGTCTTTTTGTGCTTTTTAAGAAAAACAAAAAATCAAAAAAAATCTGAGATAAGACCCCTTTTCCTGTGGCCTGGGTCATATAGGCTATTTAATAAAAACAAGGCATCAACACACAAAATGTCACCAACTGATATTTGTTACAGACACAGAACTCCGAACACCAACCGCCAAACACTGTCCACAATAGATTTGGAGACTATAATAATATGTCACCACTTGAGCTGTATGAAATCCCGTATAACATTTACATTATCACCCACTCCTAGGGCCACTCATATTTAATATATTTCTATGATCAAGTCCAGCGTAGAGCCCTGCCACAGAGTAATTAGTTCTAAAGCAGCCTCCAGACAAATATTACTGGAGACTCATTGAATTAATACAATGTACACTGTTAAAATAACATGAATATTTAATAATCATTCTTCAATGAAATCTAGAATTAATGGTTCAATCAACTGCTTCAGCTTCTGATATGGCTCAGATAGGACATCTATAATAAATAATAAATCAGATCTGTAAACAACTAAGATGAGATTGAATAAATAGTTCTCCAGATCTCTCACCTTTAATTAAAACAACATATCCCATAGCAACCATGTGACAATTCTAAACCAATCATAACATGGATTTTTGATGATATCATTGAGAATACTGGGATTGATCAACCCCCACTAATTTATTGCAATGACATTTGGCTGGGAGCAGAAAATACACAAAAGAAGGAAACTAGATTAGATCCATAACAGTTAAGTACAGAGACAAAACAGATTAGAGATCAATACAAAATGTTTTTTATAATTTCACCTCTACTCTAATGTCATTGTACTTCAAACTGCAGAAAGTTGTTTGGTAGGATACACAAGGCATTAACGTCAAATCACTGATGCATGAATGTTTATGAGGAAGAAATTCTAATATTGATTAATTGGTCCTGTGATTTTCAATAATTTAAAGCTACCACTACTATACATGCTGTTATCTCACGTCACATGGAATGTTCAAATATATACATAGGGGAACATGGGGCAAAACGGCCCTCTGGGGCAAAGTGGCCCATCGAAATATCTTTTGAACTATAAAAAGATGGTTCTTCAAAAGTCACAAAATCGAATTTTGAAATATCTGCCACCTTCTCGACCGTCCATTTTTAACCAAGCAGCGTCTCGCTTTACGTAAGAGGTAATTCTACTTTTCACCCTCTTTTTTTGAAATTACCCCTCTCACGAGAATCTCTAAAAAATCCGGCAACAATAGAATATCGTTTTGATTTAACATTTTACACAGAGTGTGCACATTTATTCTTTATTTGTAAAAATTTCGAGCTTCAAATATTAGGCAAATTAAAATGACGTCTATTTGAAAATTCACATGTCTTTGGGGCAAAACGGCCCACACATGTTATAACATACAAAAATCTTATTGTGCAAGAAAAATTGGTTTTCAAATGTAACAATTTTAACATCTGGCTTGTGCCTTATTTCCTTCCGACACATATCGAATGACTAGAATTATGGTAGGGGTTAAGAATACTTTATCTGTCAAAGGTTTGAACGTCTGAGATAAGATGTTTGTGGACGAGTCTTGTAATTGATTAATTTTGGTTTCAAAACCCATGTAACAGAGGGTGGGCCGTTTTGCCCCACCCATGGGCCGTTTTGCCCCACTCTCGACAATATTTTTGACCATTGAAAAATCACAGAAGATAGTCCTAGGAAAGTATAAAACACTCGAAAAATGTAAACCACAAACCATTAATAAAGTGGAACATCAAAGTGCGCGATGATTGACAGATACGAAAATACCCCGTACAGAACAACTTAAAATTAAATTTTTTGGGCCGCTTTGCCCCATGTTCCCTTACACTGATATAATTCTAAGCATTTTGTCTATACATATACTTTCAAAATAAATACTGTCATCTTTAATATGCATTTGCAAATTATAAGAAGCCACCTAAAAATACAAATGCACAACTGTTTGTAACACTGCAATCTCAATTTTATACATTGCAACTGAAGCGTCGCTTTTCCTGTTTCATTTGCATCTTTGAGTCTACCAAAGAATCATCTGTTATTTTGCTGTAGCGTCTATTAGAAGGACGATCCCCTTCTTTGATGCCGACAAATTCTGAAACACGTCGCTCAATGGTTTGAAATGTTGAAAGTCTCCTTGGCACATCTCCATTCAAAGAATCACTTCCAAATGAGAGATAACTATGAACCGACTGATAGCTGTCCTTTCGTGAAACATAGCCTGGGCAGAACCGGGCGGCTATTCTGTTAAACGGTTTCCTGAGGTCCAGAAACAGGAAGAACAAGAGGAAAAGGGAGACCAACACTGCAAATGTTATTCCAATACCAATTGCGCTTGGTCGATCGTCCGAATCGGTGTATCCATCAGTGTCATGTTTACTACCTATGGGCCTGTCCCCATAGGCCTTTGGGAAATAAACATTTTTATGCACAGAGCTGTCATTCCGGAGGTAATTCATTTCCATTATCCTTAAGGGACCTTACTGTTAATCAGCAATCCTGTCTGATATCTAATCTGTATTATGAGCTTTTATGAATATGATGTTCCGATGGTAAAAGTTATGTCCTCTTACTGATCTAGGATCAACACTTCCAATTTGCTAAAAGTTCTCATATTGGACATAAATTAGACCAAGTTGAGTTATTACACCAGTACACAGATCTAATGTTCTTTTGTTGTTCTCTAAAGTGGGCTGTATATCATGTGTGTGTCATCTAGTGCCGCATAAATTCTGGCCACAATCTGAAAGTACAAAGTCATAAAACATTATTTTATTGGCATGAGAGTTTTTGAAATATTTTGTTTACCTAATTTTTGTATGTCAAAAAAAAAAAAACAATTCTGATGTTAACTTTTGTAACGAAAAAATTAACATGAATTTTGCCACTTCTGTCCCAAAATGTATTTCTGATTCCAAATATAAAGACGAGAATTTTTCATGAAACAAGACAAAAGAACATTACTAATTAAGAACAATCAGCCACAGTCAGCAGTTGAATAAATCCTACAAATACAACAAAACTGGAAGTATTTGTGAGATCTTTTCCATAACACCCTGGAACTGATCAACTCCTTTGACATTTACTCACCTAGGCACAAGAGGAAACAATCTCAGATAATATTACTAGCTTCTTAAATTAATCTCACTCTTACTTTACCTTTATCCAAGGCTTTACTTTGCATTTGTCTCAAATGCCCGTTACAGTTCTAACTGTTCCCAGTTATTGTTAACTCAAGTAGCTCTCTGGTAGACTGTTAAGCTTTGACGAACATTGCATGTAAAATAACTATACTTCAATAAAATAATTTGCAGTTCTCTTTCCAGAATAATCAATGAACCATAGTTAGCATCTACCATGTGCATCCTGATTATAGCAACCAACACAATACAAAGTAAATCTTGGTATCTGAATGCTGTAAGACCATGAAAGTAAATATTTTATGAAGTTTGATTAAAATTCCTCTTTTTTATTCAAAAACATGTTTTAATTAATAAAATAAAAAACAACAACTGTGGTTATTCTTTTTCACAGAACCTTTAATTAAACTGAAACAAATTCACCAGCTTAGCAATAATAGAGGCAATTCTATGGTATAGAACTCAAGCAGGTGAACTCTATGTATTTTTATGTTCAGATCAGACAGGTTAAATGATTTCTAATTTCACAAGAACAATTCTATTAAGCAGGCTGAAAATGTAGAGTTCCATTATGCCTAAATAACTACCTCTTATAGTCGTTAATGAATAATAATTTAGCCTCTCCAGCTCAAATAAGCACCTAGCAACACAAATTACATCTTTTGATAAAAGAATGAGCATCAATGCAGCTACTGCAGGTGAACTACTTTTCAATGTTGATGATTATCCCATCAGTTGGGAGAGGAATTACCTATATGTATGATACCAGCATCTCTAACTTTTCCATTATTATCTAAATAACTTGAATTTGATTTCCACATAAAAAGTAGGCTGGTCATGTCTGCTGAAAAACTTTCATGATAACTGTGCTGTTCAGATTAGTCTAAGCTGATTTCTATATGGTCTTATAGGTTGTAGATTAACGTCTTGACTACCCAGATTGACGAGATTTCTCGTCACCTTGGAAACGACTTTGAAAACTAGAGTGACGAGCAAATCCGTCACAACATTTTTCTTTAAAATTGCTCTAATTTTAACAATTTTCATCCAATTTACACCAAAAATGTTTTAAAATGTGTAGAAATGATCTCTGCCGACTAATGTCACTAAATTGAGCATCACCTGTTGTATATGCATGTAGTAAAATGTCATGGCAAAAATGAAAAATTCCCTGGTTTCAACCGAATTTTAGAACCTGGGATTTAAGAGGTTAATAGTCTGAGATTGGTTAAATTAACTGATTGTATCAATATATAGAGGTTATTTACTGGGAGGGATTCAATATGGGTTTTATTCAGAGGGAGAACACAATATTTCCCGAGGGCCCGGAGGCCAGCTTTTTATCCCATGATATTCATAACTCTCTTCATAAAATCAATAGTTCAATATCCATATCTGATTTTTGTATGAAACAAAACCAGACTATATTATTTAGTTTATATGACCTAACTTTATGACATTTTCAAATAAATTTTTTTTAATGTATAACATAAACTTAAACACATCAATATAAAAAATCAACAATATGGTATACAAGTGCATCAGGGCATTCACTTATTGCTCAGATTTCTATGACATTGACTGTGTCAGAGCATGATGGTGAAATTACAATTAGCCTTTGTTTAATAAGGTTTTATAGTTTCATTCTCCTTACATTTTAAAATCTCTATTTTGAACTTCATTTGGAAAATATGTTTCTCACATAAGAACATCATTATAGCACGCTCTATCGACTCAACTGTACGAAATAGGAAGCTTTGTTTATCAAAAATTCTCGGGAGGTGGGATTGGTAGGTGAATATGATTTTTGTGAGTGGGATTGGGTTGGACAATACGATTTTTTTTCAATATCAAAAATATTCCCGGGTGTTATTCATCGGGAAGTAGTAGTATCATGGGATAAATAGAAGTTATTTAATGGGAGGGATGGAAAATGAATTTCATTCCGAGGGAAAATATGATGTTGGCCAAGGAAAATATTATATTGTCCAAGCGCGACCGCCCGAGTGTAAATATAATATTTTCTGAGGCCAATATCATATTTTTTTCAAGGAAAAAATATTCAAATTCCATCACAACCGTCAATAACCTATTCATTCCATAACATTTTTTTAAAGCTTATTCATTTTCAAGTTTGATTTGCTATCACCCAATGATGTTGACATAAAATGATACAATTTGATTTTTCATGTAACAATTTTCAACTTTCATTTACAGTTTTAGAACAAAATATGTAAAAATCAAAAGAAATCCATGAGAATAGTTCTGATACGGGATCTGATATGGGATTTTTGCTGATATGGGATCCAATACAGGATTTCTTGAATATCAATTCTATTCCCAGTTTATTTCCCAGGGAAAACATGTTATCATGGAATAAAAGTTAACTACATGTACATGTATTTACTGGTATATTTATTTCAAGTAATTTCATTTTAAATATTATATCCAGGCACTTGAAATAGCATTTATTTCAAATTTCCATATAATAAAATTGCGCTTTTTTCATTTAAATTATTATTTTAAATGAACCTAGTGAACTAATTAACTCACCTTATAAATCTTGTTCTGATCAGTACTGATAATTATCCAATAAAAAGTTCTATTTAAGCTTTATAATAAGCCACAACTTAACATTAGCCTCATCTGAAGAGATATTTGCATACTAATGTCTTGCATTGAAGCACCACTCCACTTTTATAGGATATACTGGTAATAAATCACTCCCTCCTCATATTATTCCACTTGTGTAAGAATCTGTTGTGCACACTTAACATATGCATGACTTCCTCTCGGTGCGGCAACAGAATATTATCCATTAACTGATCAAATAGACAAATATCATGATTCACTGAATGTCCAGAAAATTCTATAGCAGAAATGCAAGTTCTTCCAATAGCTTGATTGATTAAGATATCCTTGTGTTAATTGTCTCAGAGTCTCCCATTAGTTTAAATAATAGCGCAGTGATGAATATTCAGGGTCAGTCAGGGCCACATGTTAGAGGGAGGGGGAGGCAATTATCTCTGAGAATGGATAACTACATGTAAATCAGTTTTGAGGGAGCTGTCTGTTAGATTCATTGTTTCCATACCATTTGTCTAATGTCCACTGCCCACATTTTCAATCCTTGAACAGCTAAATTTGTGATAAACCCTTTTTAGCTTCATTCCTGTTATTTGCTCCATTGTGCTCCCATGATGTTCTGCTAGCCTCCTTAATTAATGTAAAGCTATTAACAAGTAAATGAACAAAACTGGAGAAAGAGTTAATCAGTAAAATACTAGAAAGGCTGTTGTAAAAAATTGTATAGTGTTACATCAACATCAATAGTTCCCAATCAAAGTTCCAAGAATTTATTGATTGTGAGGCTAAGCGTGGGATATATGGCGAAGATACAATTACTCCGAGATTTAAATCTAATATTTTCAATTTATAGCCATTTTAGTATTCTGATGAATGGAAGATTTTCATGATCCATTTACAGGAACCTAAAAAATGATTTAGAAATGACAATCAAAATGATTTTGAAAACTGTATGTAGATTATACTAGAGACTTTTATTCCATTATTTCATCCCATGTGCCAATTGCACTGATGTTGGTAACAGATATTCATTACAACAAATCATTTGATGCCTAATCCATAATCAAGCTAATTTCTGCAAAGAATTGGTTTTTCTAATTAATATACGTGTAAATATAATAAACAAGGCATAAATCATGCAAAATGTCGCTAACTGGTATTTGTTACAGACACTGATTGCTTAACGCAAAACACCAATTTCCGGATGCTGAACGCCGTTCACAAAAAAGTTGGAGACTATAACAATACATGTATGTCACCACTACTGTATCACAGTACTACCACTTATTACTTTGTGATCATTAATAAATAAAAATCTAAAGGTGATAAACTATGATCTAATTCAGACTTGTGAAAGAAAATCCTACATCTTCCACTTAATTATATGTGTTAAAAACATCATGTGTCCAATTGCGTCATGGGATTTCTAGAAGGATACGATTGTTTGAAAAGCTGAAAAGTGGCATTGAGATCAATATATTCTCAAGGCAACTTCCTTTGATATCTCCACCACAAACATTGATTAATGAATGTTTTCCAGATATTGCAATAACATGATGTTACTAATTATTTGACAATGTGCTACTTCATCTGTATGGTCAATACTCTAATGTGAAAGACAACAGACAATCCATCAAAATACAAATATATCCTGTTAAATGATTGGTTATTTTATGGGCTTCTCTTGAAAGTCAGTGGATATATTTGGTAGAAGAGATCTTTTGGGAGATGAAATGCAAGATTGGATAAAAAAAGTAGTAGAGTTTTATATAACTAATATGAATATCACTAACTGTATTTATGAATAACGTGATACAGTATTCACCACTGGACAGATAACACCAAACATTGCTTGAACAAAAAACTATTCTTTTGTTCTGCTATTTTGTGTATAATGAGGGTGATTAAAAATATTTAAAAAAATAATCTCAGTTTTGTCAAGAATTAACTGAAAAATAGTGAAAACGCTAAAATATTAATACCATACTGTAATAAAAATATCCTTTTCCTTTAATTTCATGGAGCAGGACCAGGATGGAAAAGCTGTTTGTAAGATCAATACAGAAATCCCATTCCATTAATCCATTCCCAAAATACACCACATATTCATATATACACCATTGACTAATGATTTAGCAATGGGATACCATCATCCATGTTGTATATGTCACCATGGTAATAGGTACAAAATCCTCACTTTCCCAGAAGAACTCAAGTTGATCAAATCTCAACAAGTACATTCAGTGGAATAGTATTGCAAGAAAGCAAAAAAATTATTTTTCAACTGGTCACAAGAATACCATTTTTTTTATCTAAACTAGATAAAACATCAATATGAATGTAACTAAGGAATAAAATGAGAAACTTCTAATCATTTTTGATTTTAAAAGACAGCTAATTCACTTTCTACATGACTGAATGAGTTTTGAACCATCGATAATTACAGAAAAGAGGCTTCATGTCAAAGTCTATTAATTTTGCACATGCACACATCACAGACGATGAATTCAAAACTCCTGAAACAATAAAAACAAGTATGTGTGTGTCGTTAATTTCCTAGGTAGGTGTATGCTTGTATGCACAATCCCATACTGTTCACATTACTTTACAGGTGTTATAACACACACTCATACCTCACCCATCAAGATACACACTATCAGATATATATTAATTATTTATGAGCTAAAAATAAATAAATAGATAACATTAAATGAACAACTATACACACAGATGTTAATCCACCTATTGCTTGTCACAATATTTTCTATCTGGATGAAACAATTGAACAGGAAAGGACAATTTAATATTTCTTAAATGTAAGTAGTCTTAGAGAATTATTTTTCTTATAGAATCTTCTTGAAATTTCATGTCTAAAATACCATATGATTTGAACACAGGCATATCATTTGGACTAATGAGTTGGAAATATACATTTTTATATTAATGAATATCAGATAAATAATATATTGTACATTTCTAATCTGATATCAACTGATAACATGTTTATCACAAATAACTTAAATCATATAAGAATCAATCGGTTCTTTTTTTCAAATCATGTATCTCAAACATGTTCAGAAAGACACTAAAGTCAAATTTTCAAAATCTTGTGATAAAACTGAATATTATTTGAAGCAAAATAAACTCATTGGGAAACAATAATTTATTTGAAAGTTTTAATATATCATCAGAAAGTGTTGCTATAGGTTGAGTTTAAACCAGTGGTCAAGTAATTGCTAAATCTGATTGGGAACAGGCCCTCCTAGACAATGACTAATCAGATAGAACAGTCATACTGGTATATTCAATCTGGTATTAGTTTCATTCTATATCTAGGGCATAGGCCAAAAACCTAAATTGAATGATGATAATAACACATTAAATTAGGCATTGAAAACATCTAAAAAACGTTTCAGGACAAAAGGACCACCTCAAAAAAGAAACAGAAACATCAAGCTTTTGGTATCAAAGATTATGTGGTAGCAATCAAGCCATGCAGACAACATACCTTTGATGTTTGATCTGAAGAATATTGTCCATTGACAAAATATGGCATCACTGACTGTAGTCATGACTTGGTTAGTAGTGCTGGGAACAGTGGTAGAAAGCAAAGGTTCTACAACGCCTATAGCTCATCCAACATTATTAGATACAACAAATCCTCAAAAAGAACCAGTGAATGATGATAAAACCAAATTGTCAGAAGCACCTCATGAGAGAAAACAGGATGAGGCAAGAAATCACACAGGAGAAACTTTAGATAATGTATACCATACAAGCACTTCCCATCATCCCTCAGATGTTCATTCAGATAATGTGACAAGAGGTAGTGAACATGACCATGTTATGAACAATACCAGCACTCCCTCTGGTCCTGTAACATGGTACAGTGAAGATGGCAGTGTTATGAACAATACAAGTACTCAATCTGGTCCTGTGACAAGCGGCAGTGAAGATGACCATGTTATGAACAATACAAGCACTATCCCTGGTCCTGTAACATGGGACAGTGAATATGGCAGTGTTATGAACAATACAAGCACTACCCCTGGTCCTGCAACATGGGACAGTGAAAATGGCAGTTTTATGAACAATACAAGCACTCCCTCTGGTCCTGTGACAAGTGGCAGTGAAGATGACCATGTTATGAACAATACAAGCACTCCCTCTGGTCCTGTGACAAGTGGCAGTGAATATGAACATGTTATGAACAATACAAGCACTACCCCTGGTCCTGTAACATGGGACAGTGAAGATGGCAGTTTTATGAACAATACAAGCACTCCCTCTGGTCCTGTGACAAGCGGCAGTGAAGATGACCATGTTATGAACAATACAAGCACTCACTCTGGTCCTGTGACAAGGAACGGTGAAGATGGCAGTGTTACGAACAATACAAGCACTCCCTCTGGTCCTGTGACAAGGGACGATGAAGATGACAGAGTTATGAACAATACAAGCACTTCCTCTGGTCCTGTGACAAGCGGCAGTGAAGATGACCATGTAATGAACAATACAAGCACTCCCTCTGGTCCTGTGACAAGGAACGGTGAAGATGGCAGTGTTACGAACAATACAAGCACTCCCTCTGGTCCTGTGACAAGGGACAGTGAAGATGACAGAGTTATGAACAATACAAGCACTTCCTCTGGTCCTGTGACAAGCGGCAGTGAAGATGACCATGTTAAGTATGTTAATATAAGCACTTCCCCTGGTCTCTCAGGTGTTCATACAGAGAGCATGAGAAGAGATAATGAAAACTTTACAAATGTTAATTGGACAATGGTCATGTCATCACCATCTGATCCAAACATGGTAACTCCGAGTACAATGACTCTGGAAATGTTAACATATGGTTTGACAACTCAGAATATGGATAAAGCAACAAGTTCATTAACTCCTTCAAACGAGCCCACAAGCATAACAACAACAATAACTTTGCCAAAGGTCATCATTTCACGTTTTCCAATTAAAATATGTGACTTTGACAATACTACCATGACTTGTAATATGACTTCTAGCATGGATCCTAGAATTAAGTTAAGTCAGGATTTTTCAGATCCTATTAATTGTAGCCTAGTCACAGAAGCTGCAATTGATTGTTACAGGCATATGAATGGCACATTTCAGACAACAAGATTTACACAACTTATTTGGCCTTTCCCCTTTTCATACAGCTTGTGTTTCATAGTGTACAGAGCCAATGAGACACTGCACTGCCGTATTGGTACAGCGGTACAGTATAATTGGATAATGTGGCCATTCAACTTAAAACCATCTTCGTGCCTCTTGTTAAACAACCAAAGTATTTACTGCATAGATGAGCACCAAACACTCTATAATAATGATTCAAAAGTAGTTCCTCCACTTCAATGGTCATATGAATTAGTTCTTATTGAGTGGCCTTTCCCATTTTCATTTTTATGTCGCATGTATAACAATGAGACACTGTATTGTTACCCTTATCAAAGAGGTGGATTATTTCGTAGTATAATACTAAAGTGGCCGTTCTCATTCATTTCTTTTAAAACCTGTGACTATAATAATGCCTTTAGCTTGACTTGCTATATTCAGAGGAATCCAAAAATATCTACTAAACTAGCAAAGTTGAATTGGCCCTTCAGGACTGTGGCAATTATTTGGCCCTTCACATTTTCTCCTCTTAGATGCCGTCCAGGCCAGAACAAAACTCTTTATTGTCCAATACTGCGACAGTTTCAACATCACTATGCACAACTTCAATGGCCATTCCCATTCTCTCCCTATCACTGTATATACAGACGAAGAGGCATGCTACATTGCTACTTGAAGAGTAATGTTACTTTGGTAGAGTCAACCCCATTGACATGGTCATTTGATGTATTTGAGTTAAAATGGCCCTTTCCATTTGCTCTAAGATACTGTAATAATATACAGACTGACCAAACAATTCTTTGTTACAGATCATCAAAGGGTGAGCTGTTTGTGAAACTTGAAGTTCAATGGAACTTTCCCTTTCCATTAGCAGCATGTGTGCTGGATTATACAAGACATCAGCTCACTTGTTACATGAACACAATGTCAAATAAATCTATTACTGCTCATACTGGATTGGAGGCATCAAAATGGTTGTTCAGGACAGTTTCAGTAAAATGGCCTTTTTTATTTTCACCTTTAATGTGTAATTTATTTACAAAGGCCACTGGTGATGAAGTGTTCTTTTACTGCATAAATACTCATGGCAATAAAACAATTGCACATTATTGGCCATTTGAGTTCTCTCCATATCAGTGCATTGCCATAAGTTTAAAAGCATTGAGATGCTTCATTCAAAACAACCAGACAGATGAAGTGTCCTCAGATCATCAACTCAACTGGCCATATTTGAAATCTGCTGTAATTCCTTGGCCATTTGCTTCACATCAACCTACACTTTGTATACTTGAGCTGGGCAATGAGAATCAAACACTATATTGTTATAATGGTACAAAGTTCTCAAAGTCTAAGTATGAATTACCTGTCGTTGCATTTCATTGGCCCTTTCCATTTCCCTCTACAACATGTGTCGCTGCCAAGCGAAAGCTAATGTGTGACATAATGGAAGGACCAACAAACATAACATACATACCCGACAAATTGCCAATGTCATTTCTCGAGGCATTCTGTGTGATAAATAGAAATTCTAGAGCAACACATAGCTTAAAGTGCAATGTGAAATATGATTCTCAGTATTCAATATTCAGAGCCCACTGGCCACATATCTCACCACCAGGGAATTGCATTTTAATAACTTCCAGTAGCAGCATTAGGTTGTCATGTGCTGTTCAAAATTCAAGTACATATGTTGAGACACCCTGGCCATTTTCATCACCGCCAATGTCTTGTGAATTAAAAGGAAGGTCCCTGCTCAACCAGACATTACAGTGTATGGTAAAAAACTCCAAAAGTACACTGCTCAAGACTCCATGGTTATTTGATTTTCTTCCGACGCCATGCATGTTACAGCACAACATGCGCAACATTTTCTGTTGTCCTCCATTTAATAAGGGTTACACTACATTTACTAGACAAGTAGAATTCATCATCGGATTTTGGACTTCACTTTTTGTTTGTCTATTCGGTCTGATAGGGAGTGTACTCTCTTTTCTTGTTCTATCCACAAGTCAGATTCATTCCAGTATTGTTATCCTAAAGGGTGTCTCTGTTTGTGACGGAAGCTTTTGTTTGTGGTATCTGACTTTTGAACTTTACAAAAACATTTACTATGGTAAAAGAAATTGGATACTGAATCATGGCAGTGAGTCAGTCCATGTACTTCCTTGGGTTAACCCATATATAGAAGAAATAGAATCAATATTGATTCATATTTCAATATGGTTTATAGTTCTCTTAACAGCAAACAGATTTGTAATAGTATGCAAACCTATGAAAGCAAAGATATTGTGTACCATACGCAGGACTACTATTTCAATGATTCTCTTGGTAATAGTTTGTCTTGGTTCATCTGTTCCCTCATTTCTAATGGTGGAGCCTTACTGGTCTAAGAGTTGGTGCAGTGAAGAAAGATGGGTGGAAGAAAAATACACAAAGTTAGGAGGTTCTCCCATGTTTTTGAAAATATATGTGATATGTTTCAAGCCATTGGTTTTCCATATCCTGCCCACGGTATCAGTGATTATGATGACAATAGCAATTTTAGTTTCATTAAAGAAAGCTTCCAAAAAGCGGGCCGAAATGAGGGGAACTGGTGTTACAACAGCATCAAAGAATGAAGATAAATTAACAAGACTTTTCATAGCTGTAGCAGTTATGTTTTTGTGTTTTGTTATGCCAAGAGTAGTTGCAGACATTATGAGAGCTCAAGATTTGCTCTTTTTCCCAACTTCCTTCCAAGATCCAACTGGTTTTATTGACTCTATGAAGAATAATAACAAAACCATATACCTTCACATTGTTTCTAATTTGTGCTTACGGTTGAATGCATCTCTAAACTTTGTATTGTACATCCTGGTAAACAAGGAATTTCGTGAAAATCTTTGCCACTTACCAAACAGACTGATATGTAGATGTTATAAACATAAACGCCAAAGACTCCGATCTAGAATTAATGGATCACCATATGCAAGCAGGCACCATATGGTAACAACACAAATTTAAAATGTTGACTATATCTAGTTGACAACCTCCATGAGTTTTTGCATAGCGATGTTACAAATTTTAAAAATTTGTCCTGTGCAACATGAATATGGAAACAGTCCATCATATATATCACTCATCCTAGTATTCCGTGATTCCGCGTCGCCGCAGAAAAACCGCAGAAATTTGCATTTTCATTTTTTTTGCAGAATTTTTGTTTTGGCACGGAATTTCGCGGAAAACATGATTTTTCCAGTCAACCATCTCATCTCATATTTGTCACTCACCTAAACACCCAAAGACTCCGCTCGTTTGTTGTCAGATACTTGTGTTTTGTCAGATTTTCAAGAGGAAATCTGAAATCTGTTTTAAATTCTCGAACTTCCGCCTTTGCACTTAGAGGTAAGACTGCGTCTAACATAATCACGAAATTTGAAACCGATGACTGTCCCTCGTAATTGTTTTGCAATAATATGTCTAATATTGTATTCTTTTGTATTCTAACGCAATAAATCATGCTTCTTCTTCCGTTTTACTTCGTCATATATAAATAAACGACATCTGAATTCCCTGCATATTGATCTGGAATTTCGTGATAGTTCACAAGTGAGCATTTTGTCGCTAATTGATTAAAATTGCATCTGGTGTTATTACTGCAGTTGTCCATTATCGCTGAAGAAAGCAGCATGAGTGGAGTTCAAGAATTTTGAATTATTAATTTTTTGGAAAAAATTATTGATTTTAGCAAGAATTTCATTTTTTGCACATACTTGAACCGCAAAATTTCACTTTTCCCCGTGCAGAATTTGGTGCAGAATTTTAGATTTCATGCAGAATTTGGTGCAGAATTTGGCTTTTTCATGCAGAATTTCTGCGCAGAATTTGCATTTTTCTCATGCAGAAAACTAGGATGTGTGATATATTAGGAGTCATGCATGAAGCATTGCCTTTGGAATGTCCCATTTCACAATTGACTTGAGTAAATTAGACTTTCTGTAAAAGAGAGGATTCAGCACATTGCTTTTGAGTTGTGATACACACTGATTGGAAATAAAAAGACCTACCATTCCCAATGATGTATTGATACATTAAAGTAGTATCTAATTTGATCTTTAATCAATGTCTTTGCTATCTACCTTTTTGAGATTTAAATCTCATAAACATCAAAGATATTAACAGACGAGGATATACAACATGCATGTACATGTATGCATCAAGTGGTCACAATATCAATTTAATTAGGCCTTAACAAATTTCAAAGATTCATGTTTTGCTTTTGACCCATCATCACTTTAGTATTCATTACCCTGATAAATCTACCTTTCCAATGATGTATTGAGACCTGAAGAGAAATTCTAGTATTTACAGATTGCACTATTCACTATAAGATTCCAGTTTTCCTATCTTATATGTGTACAGATAAAAAGTTTTAATAGCAAAAGTGTGCTCTTTAAATTTGATTCATAGAGCTCACCTCTTAATGAAAACGGTCTATAATTGATCTAAAGAAAATTGCATTAATTTACATGGGACTGCTAGACATTGGAAAATCAATGAGCCCAAATAGAAGTCTTATAAAAAGTGTTCAATTTAAGAGGTGTTCACAACTTCACATACTTAAGCAGATGTTTATGCAGATGTATTGGAATATTCTACTAACCTTGTTGTTGAGATGTTGAGCTCATTTATAATAACCATTTGCTCTGTGCACGCTGCATCATGTGACTGCAGTGTATTATGTGATGCACTGTTTTCACTGAATCCAATTGACCTGCTTTGTTCTTCATGTAAATTTCAGTCTCAAGGAAGAGCCATACTTCAGACTAATGCAGTATGTTGCCATGTTGTGCAGAATTTCAAGATACACGTTGCAATGAATTTGATCTAGATTGTCTTGAGTTTCTTTTTGATCTTTTCTTGTGTATGTTTAAGTCATCGATGTGACGTTGTGCCTTGTAAATATAGCAAATATATTTCCCAGAGTCAGCAGATTTCACTGTATGAACTATTGTATCCATATCAACTTCTATTGTGTGCTCACAGTGCTGCAAATAAATGGATAGAAAGAAAAGTCATGGCACTCTCTAAGTACAAGTAAGTGGATCGAACAGTGGGAAACATGCTTATCTAATAACAAATTATGTTTGTTAAGATTGGATAGAGGGATCCGATTCATGAATTTTGCAAATAAACATTTGACATGTATAGGAATCAAATAAATAATTGGAGAGAATTGAAATGATTAAAATATGCACATTAAATGGATACTTGTATAGTTACATTAATGCAATTGTTAGGTGTTGTTAACATTTCCACTTTAAACCCCATAGAGATTATTCTACATTTTCATTTGAATACCCTCTGACCTTCAGTTGCACAACTCTGTCTGTTCCTATTTGAATACCTTGAAGCTACAGTAGAGTTGGGTTGTTGTATTAATGTACATTTTTATTTATATAACCATAGATGTACAGTTGTGTAACTGTTAAATTGTATATTTCATTTAAGTTACAGTTGACTAATTCAGAAATTATAATTAACAAATGATCCTCAACTTATAAAGAGGTAACATTGGGTCAGTTCAACCATAGCTGAAATTTCATGCAACTGGCCAATATGACTTAATTTTTTAAAATTTACTCCAATGGTTGTTGACCTTATTATTGTTGAAAAATGCTGTAAAAACAAACTAATGAAGGGTTTGTGGTGTGAACTAAAATAACAATATGTAGGTGTATTGATTCAATAAAGGTGTTTTGAAATTAAACATTTTTCCTATTTTTACAAACTGCAATATTAGAACTTGTTTCATTTTTAAACCCATTAGAGATATTTAAGGAATCTTGAATTCTGCAACTTTGAGCCCCCCCCCCCCCTTCCAAACATGGACTGACCAATCAGCTCATCCACATTAATTTATCAAAATTAGTCATTAGTTATGTCACTCTTTTACATACATATCAAAATTGTTGGGTTAATGCAAACATATTGAAGCTTTGTATGAAATTAAAAAGTGTTTCCAGCCGAGTATAATTTGTTTTAGAAATCTGAGAATTTTAGTTACCAGATTTACATGTAGTTTAGGTAAATTGTAGGTATAGAATAAATCTTTCTCATATCATTTGCATAGTGCATGAATTGCTGAAAAGCTTGTTCGAAAAGCATATTGTGAAATATTCTTAATAACCAGCCAACCTTTTAGTTTATGGTCTGAACCTACCTCTTCCCAGGTTTCTTGAAGCTGTACCTCCTTAATGAGGTCACCAGTGTAGTTGTCATGAAAATGAACATAGCCCTTGAAATCCCCTGCCACATCATACACTGTTACTATCAGAAGGTCAAGGTCATATTCATAGTCAACAGAATGGAGTTTCTGAAAGTTGTATGTATCATTAATTAAAATTAATATATAATACCATGGGCTTTCTAATTTTTAAAAATAGGAGTAAACAAGGCATTAACATGACAAAATGTCACCATCTAGTTGCTCACAATATTATTAGTTCAATCTTAAGTCAGATTTGAATTTCTGAGAACTCTGTAGATGATTTTCAAAAAATGGTCAATTTGAAACAAGTTTTTGACCCTGAGAAGGTCATTGAAGGTGAAATCACAAATCTTAAGTCAGATTTAAACTTAAATTTCAAGAACTTGTAGATGATTTTGAAAAACAATTGGTCAATTTAAGCAAGTTGTTTAACTTTTTTTGACCTTGAAAATGTCATTTAAGGTCAAATATTAAATTTAAAGTCAGATTTGAACTTTTGAAAATGTGTAGATGAATTGGAAAAAATTGAAGTCTGTCTAAACAGTATTTGTTAAGTTATTGGAAGTTTAAAGAATTTGTTACAGACGCCTACCGCCGCCCACAACCCGCCGATTGCCAACCACCAACCGCCACCACAAAAAACGGAGACCATAACAATATGTCACCACTTCTTGGTGGTGGTGACATAAAAATGAGTCTAAAATCACACCAGCAAGGTTGTTTTTCAGGATATTAATTCATCTGCAGTGAAGTTATAAAACATCTAAATTACTATAGCAAACTTAATTACATTTGCAATTATTTTTTTCCGATAGCTATTCTTAAGTGAGCAGGAAATGCTGTAATTGTTTGGCTTGAACACAATAATGTTGATTATTTCATTAGAATAAGATGTCAAACTTTGCATTTTTTGTTAAGCTCATCAACTTATGTTGACTCAACTTTGCCAAAACCTTTATCATAATACTAAGATTTAAACAATGCATTTAAACATGCAAACCCGCCAATCTTTACAGGCGCTAAACTCTGAACGCTGACAACTGTTAATCATCCTCACAAAGAGTTGGAGACAATAATAAAATGTCACCACTTCTGATGGTGACATTAAAAACCAGAAAAATTCAATGATTTTTTATAACATTCCACTAACCTGGTGAGGAGACTCATTGACTAAGAAATCTGAGTATACACTGGCTTTCATCTTGATGCAGCGACCAGATGATGATCTCACTGGTGGTGCTGGTCCTAATGATGATTTCAACAACAGTTCTTGTGGTCCTGAACTGATGCCATTCATATGAGGAATCTACAGTTAAATTAATAACACACCGGAATAACCTAGGAATTTAACCTGTAGGTGCTCTTTTAAACATACAACTCATGAAAATCTAATTGAAGCGACGGTTATGTCTGCCATTTGTGACAACGGTATCTGACTTTACCATTGTCAGGCTATTCTGGTTGGAATAAAAAGCTTCTTGTCCAATGATCTATTGAATATTGGAAGCAAGTCAAAGGGTTGCACAGCATTTGTGGTGTCTAGAGATATGATACTGATAATGGAGTGGTAGAGCCTTGTACTAAATGTATAGGCCAAGTAAAAGTTCATAATTTCATATCATATACTGTATAAGTGGTATTTAATCCGAGTGGTTAATTTTCCGAATGGTCAAATTTCATCATTTTCCTAATTTTAATTTTCCTAATTACAAGAAACCTCCCATTGGATAACATTATAAAGACAATATTTCCGACATTTAATTTTCCGAACCTGGCAAAAATTAGGAAATAGGCAAATTAAATGATTAGGCAAAATTACCACTTATACAGTATATTTAGATATCTCAGAAAGCATTTTGAAAATTTGTGCCATTTACATCTAGTCTAATTACTCACAAAAACCCAATATGCAAGCATAAAATTTGTCACCAGAAACTGGGACTCTGTAGTCCTAGCAGTAGTTCATTCTATATTTCTATAACTACTGTACTTACTGCATCACATATTTTGTGAGATACATCTATACTAAAGGTAGGCCTCAGTTCATATTCCTCACTTCTTTCTGACACTGGCCTCACTTGTAGCATTCTATGATAGAACATTCATACATTATGGACATACAATACTTGTTCATTATTTTTATTGAAAACTTGCATCATTTAATCAAGGTCCTTATTTTTGTAAAACTCCATTTATGGTCTTGGCTTTTTTCACCATTTGAGCCCATCGAATGGTTTCATTTCAATTTTTGTATTTCTAGGATATGTACAAATGTATAAAACTTGGAAAAACTTTCTAGAAATCTACATGTACTGTACTTCTACTTAATTTGGCACCAATTTTAAAAGTAATTTGACGAATTCACCATATTATTAAAGTCCGCCAAATTAAGTAGTCGCAAAATACCCCAGTAATAGTAGTACCATGTAAATTAGCACCATTAGTACATAGTAATATTGCAAGTCTGCCAAATTAAGTAGCCGCCAAATATTCAAAACAGCAAATCTGCCAAAATAAGTAGCACAGTAGTCGAAAGAACTTACTGAAACGAGGTGTCTCCAGTGTGGATTATTCTGGATGTCTCATCAGGGTGGAAGAAGGCTTTATCCAGGTCACTGGAGTCCATATCTAAATGGCCATTCAATACCTGAAATAATGTGATTTACCTCATTTTGTTTAAAAAGGTTACAATTATTTTTTTATCATAACAGTTTCAAGTTTTTAGATGTGATGTATGTAAGTCCTATATTATGTATAAATAGACTTGGTTTTTTCATTCAGCTTTCCATGTACACTTTCTTTAACAGTGGTATCCTCATATCATGAAATTGATGAGGTTAGAGGTCTAGGGGAATGTGAACATAGTCAGAAAAATTCTAAAGCCAATGAGGTAGACTAGAGTCACACCCCGGAAAGGAAGAGGCTATTGACAATTTCTCAATTAATGATTCAAATCTAAAATACTTGCTTAATTATGTTTTTTTATCAAACTTATGAGTACAAGTACAAGAACTTGTACATAACTACATTAATAATTAATGATTGTCTTGCCTTTTTCTTAGTTTTAAGAGTATGCACTTCAAATATGCCCCTAGTCCTAACTGGGGTGATGATAAAATGGTAGGGATTGGCACCTATTGTGAAGGAGAACTGACTGCTTTGGACCTCAAATAATACTGGTGGACAGTCTGCAACATATAAAAATTAAAGATAGATATGTAGTGTACATTGATTGCTTCAAAATATTTTCGAATTAGTTTTTCATTTTAGATTTCTAATCTCTACTTCTCTTACATGTATGTATAAAGTTTTTACACAGAACAAATAAAGTAAATGGATCATGTAATACCTTTTATTGTTACATTCACTGGAAGACCATGTGGATGCCTCCCAGCATGACCTTCATAATGGGTACTGTCATTGCCTAATGGAGCATTGAACTCTTTAAACTGAAAGAATATGAGACATGCTGATATTGACATTACTATAATATCAGTGATCTCTAAAAGCATTTGAACAACCAGGTACTCAAGCACCACCCTGTTGAAAATCTAAAATGTAAATGCAACCTATCCATCCAAAGTGGTAAAAATATAGATATATGCATTCAGACCAAAAGTAAATTTGGAATTTGGGACATTTAAGCGCATCAGTGCATTGCAACACTGCAGTGAAACAGCATACTTTGTCAAACAATAATCATATTCATCTACCATTAAACAACTTAAGGTTTACCAATTGTGTAATACATACCTGCTCCAGAATGTCATCAAAGCTGTAAATCTTGATCACATCCGACTTTGACATTACCAACAAGAGACCACCAAAAAGCATCGCATCTGTGATACTTTTACCAAATATCTAAATGTAAAAGACATTAGCATATATAAACTGTGTGTAAACTGTAACTTGTGTGAACAATGACCTATCATCAATTGACACATTTTCTAAAAAATATATTACACATACTTTCAACAAGAACTAACACAGAAAAAGATTAAAGACATCGCTGTTGTTATATATTAAGAATTACCCGCAAAATTTGATATTACTAATATCTGAATAATAATTCATTTTGGTCTCATAAAATGAACAGTTCCTGACTTGTGACTAATTTATAACTTTCTGACATGTAACTTCCCAACTTTCCCACCAGTAACTTCTGACTCGTAACTTCCCAACTTTGCCACCTGTAACTTCTGACTTGTAACTTCCCAACTTTCCCACCAGGAACTTCTGACTTGTAAGTTACCAACTTTCCCACCAGTAACTTCTGACTTGTAACTTACCAACTTTCCCACCAGTAACTTCTGACTTGTAACTTACCGACTTTCCCACCTGTAACTTCTGACTTGTAACTTACCAACTTTCCCACCAGTAACTTCTGACTTGTAACTTCCTAACTTTCCCACCAGTAACTTCTGACTTGTAAGTTACCAACTTTCCCACCAGTAACTTCTGACTTGTAACTTACCAACTTTCCCACCAGTAACTTCTGACTTGTAACTTACCGACTTTCCCACCTGTAACTTCTGACTTGTAACTTACCAACTTTCCCACAAGTAACTTCTGACTTGTAACTGGCCGACTTTCCCACCTGTAACTTCTGACTTGTAACTTCCCATTTTTCCCACCAGTAACTTCTGACTTGTAACTTACCGACTTTCCCACCTGTAACTTCTGACTTGTAACTTACCAACTTTCCCACCAGTAACTTCTGACTTGTAACTGACCGACTTTCCCACCTGTAACCTCTGACTTGTAACTTACCAGCTTTCCCACCAGTAACTTCTGACTTGTAACTTACCGACTTTCTCACTTGAAACATTGCAAGGAATTCAAGGGGAAATATGTGGAAGACACCCATGGTCATGAGAACATCCTTAACCACCCCTGCCTGCAATAATGTTGAATATTACCAAGGGCTTTCAAGAGAGAGTCTGTTGAAAGCCCATGATATCACCATACAACAACATGCATCAACATTATTAAACAAATATTTAATTGTAGAATTATAACACTGAAATCTCTACACAACAGAACCAATAGCCTACAATGTTAAAACAACTTTTTTCATTTCTTCAGAGAATTTTTTTTATTAGATCAAGGCTTTCGATGTTCGCTGTTATATTTTTTAAATCTTGAAAAAGACTTGGGGATACAAGTCGAAAGCCTTGATCTAATAAAACAAAATTATCTGAAGAAATGAATAAAGTTGTTTTATATACATTGTATATAAACCATAGAATTGGCACCAATGTTTTATCCCTAAACCATATATTGACATTGATTTTCTAATTGGTCAGAAAAACAATGTTATCAAACAATCAAAAAAAGTGGTAAAAAAGCTTTTGATTCCTCCATCCCTCCCCACCCAGCCTCTTTATTAATGACTACATTGATATAATGCAATCACTAAATGAACATTACACTGAAGGTGTTCCCTACCTGCCTTTCAGCCTGGGACAGATTGCTATGGGTCGACTTAATCACCAACCTCTCTTGCTCCCGGTCCCATGCCAAATACCTAGATGTAATGTATTATATATCAGATGTAATACACAAACAAATGAAATATCATGGGCTCTCTAGAAATCCCATGGAAATACTTAAGAAATAACCAAATCTGTCAAACCTACTAGATTGCATAGTATAGAGGATATTATAATAGCCAACAGTGCAGCAATATAAAGATTAAATGGATTAATCTAAACGTTAATGTGGAATTCTAAAGACAGAATCAAACAAAAAAAACCAAAGGACGAATATACTCTTGCAAGTTGTAACAATCCTTGAATCTCAAAAAATGTAAAAATAATTTAGAGTTGAGACCGTAAAGCATGGCAGTTGAGTTTGCAAAAATTGCATATTCTATCAAATTGCTAGTATTGTATATTTATTGCCTCATTTATATGAGAGAATACATTTTAGTATACATACATACATACATAGTATAAAGGATATACATGTACATGTATTGTGCTGATGTGTGCAACTGCAAACCTACTTGAATTTAATATTAGGACCAATGTAGACTTCTTCCAGCATTCTACCAGTGTTCATGTCATATCTTCTCAACCACCTGTCAGCAGTAACCACAACAAGACAGGACTTGTAACCATGGTGATTTAGATCAGTTCTCTCCTGAAATAAGATATACAGATGAGAGTGATCTTCTGAACTGCACTACAATATTGAGCAATTTATCTGATCTAAATCTTTAGTATTTACAATAATATACAGCAAGCATCTTAAAATGAATGGTATCATTAGCTCTTCACACATGTATTCTTGTAGAGCTCACTTTGATAAGCCAAAGCACTTTGCTAAAAGCAGAGTGGAAATCCTCTCCCACCACAAGCCCAGAATTTTTGATTATTCATACTGAGGAACCAAGCATGAGACACTTACCAATGATGTTGCACACACCAAACAATCTTCTATCTTCTTTGATGCTGGTACAGCTGGCATGTTGTATGCTTTACTGGGAATTCCATTCACTCCATGACTAGAATTATGCCATAAAACATTATATATCAATACATTTTTGTTGTTGTCTTGCATCAACCCCCTAGGCAACCCCCTCCAATATCAAGTACCTGTGGAGTCCACACTGTGGACCCCTTTGTCAAGCACTTGTGCTCCTCCCATATCAAACCCCTGGGGAGCTCCCATAGAAGCCCTTGGGCATATCAACCCACCCCAATTCTCCAGAGTACTATCAAGGTCATTATAGAGGGAGAATGTGGGAGGTGTGAACAGGGGCTTTAAGAAAGACTATCATGTAATACATAAGGGAGGAATGGACTTAGCCATGTCGTCTTACTATTAAAAGGCCCGTAGCCAGGGGAGAGTGACTGCTCCCCCAAAGGCTCACCGCTTGGCAAAAGCATCCCCCTTGGAAAAAACCTCCCCCTTTTGGTAAAGGCTAGCTATGGGCCTGAAATACAATAGGCAGGACAATAAGGTCAGGACATTCTGAAGTACATGTACATCATTGCATTACTCTTAGGTAAATATTATGACTACACTTTGCAATGTGGGTATTTGATTGTGTAAATGTTAAATTCATTCAAATAATTGTAAAATTCATTCAAAGTAATTGAAAGTTTAATTATGTTGTAAATATAAAAATGTAATTTCGCAAACACAGTATTCTAATTGAAAATACTTACATATGAAAACAGGTTTTGTAGTTGTTCATGTAGAGTTTTGACCTGTAAATAATCAAATTACACACAGTTTTAACAATTTACATCAAAATACCTCTAGCTTGCTTGATGAACACCTCACAATTTACATCACCATTTGCACACCATAGTATACAAATTCACAATTTCTGCATGTACGATAGAGTGAACAGATCTCCAAAAACAATGGGCTTTTTCTAACATGGCGCTAAATTAAGTCTAATTGTAGATGTTTTGCTCAAAATGTCTCAATAATTCATCCATAAGCAGGGCACAAACAAATTTTCAACAGTGTCACATGTAATTTTTGAATTTGTACCTGATGAAACAACTGGTTGCTCAATAATGCTGAGGAGATTGTTTAATGATTGGTGAATGAAAACACAAAATGAAAACCTGTGCTAAGGGCTGATGTCAAAAAGTCTGACCACCCTAATGGCGATTGAACCCACAACCCTTCGCTTTTGAGACACCGGGTCAGTTACTAAACGTTCCTTGCAGGGTTACCACCTTTCAAAGTTGCACATTTGTAGACTACCCTTCAATATTTTTACGTTATCATTTTACCAAGAACCTGTAAGAGACTGAATTTCTGAAGTCCTAGGTAGTTATTTACACAGTTTACACGTACGATGACGTTAGTTGCTTGATTTATTGTCGGAGTGATTGACGGGATATCGATGATTGTTTTCTATGATGGCGATTTCTGCTATTATAGATATTAAACAAATCTGGAAGATTTACGTACACGTAAATTAAAATGTTATTTGCCGTTTTTATCTGTTAATTAGTGTACCATGTACAAAACAATGTTAGTTGCTTGATTTATTGCCTCTCTGATTGACATTATATTAATTTTGTTTGTCGTTTTGCCGGTTGATTTATTGGTAAATAAATTTTGTTGCTTGTTTGGTTGTTTGCTTGATTGGTTGTGTCACTAGTACATTGATTGGGATGTCAGTTGGGCGTTTTGAGGCATACAATGAGCAAATTAAATTCCTAACCCTAGTAGGAAGTAGTGTTGTTGCGATGTGCCATAATCGTACATCGATGCATCGGCAATTTTCAGTAGTAAACATCGATGCACATCGCGATGTACATTGAGAAAAAGTCCGAGAAAAATGCACTGAAATACCGAACGCTAATGCACTAAAATACCGAACAGAACATGTTAATAAGAGTACGCTGGTACATCCGGGATCTTCTAGTAACGGTGAAATGAAAGTAACATAGGCCCGGGAACATGTATAAAATAGCGAGTCGACGTCTATATTACTACTTTTGCTTGGAAAGTAAAGTAAATTGTTTCAGATTAATGGTTCATTTCTACTAACTAAAACAGTTTTAAAGCGAAAGAATATCAGAAAACATCAGAAAATGAAATAAGACATGAGAAAGGTAAGCGATTTGGGTGATTTTTAGCAAATGAAATTTTTTTAAAAAACATCAATGTTTTGTTTCAGACATCGATGCATCGCCAGAATCAGCTTTGGCGATGTATATCGCGATGTATCGATTAATCGCGACAACACTAGTAGGGAGGTACATGTAGGGTACCTAGTGACCCGGCTACACAAACCCGTTTTTTTACACAAACCCCTAGAATAACATTTCAAAAAGCTACTTACATTTCTGTTATAATTCTTTGCTTTGACTGAGTCTTCCACACCTTACGATAGCTGCAATGTGTCTAGAAAGATATAAAAATGAATGTATTATACCCTTCATCACAGTCTATAAGGATTTGAATTGTACAGTCGAGTCAATGCACCATTTATTCTCAATTTTGTCTACAGTTTGAAAGCGCCTCATAAATGAATCTACTTTTATCCAAATTTTGGTAAGACCTATATTCAATGATAACAGAGAATAAATAGTACTAACTTTGTACAATTTTAGACAAATAAATAGACTTGACTCTAAATTGAAAATTTAGAAAATGGTGGGCGATAATAGAGAATAGCCATATTAAGATACATTTCACCTGGCATATTATCCTTTTGACGATCTTTTGATTATGTCTACATGACCACCGAGTATTTATTTCTCGTTTTCCCAAGCTAGATGTGACATTTACTCTTCCAACGCCACGCAAATGTGGATCAGAAAACATTTTGCCAGCAAATGGGAAACGTGCGAAAATACCAGATTTAGTTAGAATTTTACTCGCTATAGCGAAAACATTTGATGAGCTGTCACTTTCAGCTATCAAATGTCATTTTCAAAATTTATTTTCAATAACCTGTTCTTAAAGTTGTACTCACCATTTTACTCTATTTAGATATATTTATGCTATCTTACCGTATGCCCGGGGGTTCACTATATTTATTAAACCTACTGGGATCCTCGGCGCATGTGGGGTACCTTTTTCAACGTTTGGTATGGCAATGGACCCATATTTTAGGATTTGGTATGGGAATGCCCGGAAATTTCTGACTTCTGAGGTATGGCAATGGTCGGACTTTTGCTCTTCTGGTATGAGAATGGTCGTTGTAGATACGTTACCTAACATTCGTGGTATGGCATTGGTCCAGTTGCAAATTTGAAGTTGTTTTTTTGCATTGGTCCCATATTTGGACATTTGGTATGGCATTGGTCCTACATTTTGACATTTGGTATGGCATTGGTCCCATAATTGGGCATTTGGTATGGCATTGTTCCTATATTTGGACATTTGGTATGGCATTGGTCCTATATTAAAAAGGATGAGTCTGGGAATGAGTCTGGGTATCGACTTAGAAAATATTGAAAATTGTAATGTCTGAAAAACCAACTCAATCACACATATTATTAAACTTCAATATCTTATCCTTCTTCTGAGAGTACAAAAATATCAATTTGTATTACAATTAATGAAGAATATTGGCATCAAAGACAGTGCATATCACTTTGTCAGAATTGACATAAAAAATCAATGGCAAATATTAAATGAATTATTTATACAAAAGGTTTGAAACATATCCTCCAAAACATTGCTTACTTTCTTTGTATAGACATTGAATGGCATTTCTGGATAAGTGAATTGGTGTTTATCTGGGTAATCAAGGGATTATAGTCACTCAAAGTTACTGAGCATCCAGTTTTGAGACTTCAATTGAGTTGGTGAAGTTACACATATTTCAGTCAAATTCATGCTGAGCACAACATTCCGGTTTCAACTTTATAATCTCTATACATGACCCTGGTGATGAAGAGTCAGAATCAGTCAAAAAACCTAAACCGGAAAACTGTGCTCATTGTGAAAACTAAAAGTGAAGCAACTTTTTTCCTGATATTTCTTACATCAAATGGCAGCCATCTTGTTTTTCCCCCTTCAAATTAAACTGGCGGGAAATTCAAAAATTTGAAAAAAAATTTAATCCTTAAATATATTTCAAAAATATGATTTTCTTTTAAATTCTTCATGGGTCTTAAGTTATTTCTTCTTTGCAAGTCATACATGTTGCCATTGAGGTTTTTATTCTATGATAATGACTATTTATTTTTGGTTAAGATACTTATTCTGACTCTCAGCAGGGGGTTAATTTTGCATCAAAACTCGTGAAAAAGTAAATATACTTATCAAATATAACTAGGACAGTAATAAAAAACATATTTAACATACATTTGACTGAGGGACCAAAAGGGCATATACCCGGACACATCCTTTGAGGTGTTCAAAGTTTGGCAAAGGTGCTCAAACTTTGGCCAACGGTGTTTAAAAGTTGGCCAAAGGTGTTCAAAATTTGGACAAAAGTGTTCAGATTTGGACTTAGGTGTCCAACATTTTGAAGTCACTCATATTAGGTGGTCCCAAGTTGACAGCCCTGAGTGAGGTAGCTTTAAGGTGAACCAACAATAACAATAACTCCAAAAGTTCATGACAAACGTTCTGCTCTGAAAATGAAATCAGTTTTGCCGCGGAAACAGACACGTGCTGCGCACGTGACATGACGTGTATGGTTGAAACAATTTGCTGCGAAATACGATTTTGTAAATAAAACATGACACCCAGAATGTGGAACAAATGTATTTTGTATAGGCTATTTCTACTTTGATTCAGCCTTCGTAGTAGTTTGCAACAACACTGACTTTTCGATTTAGCGCCAGAATAACTTGGCACACGGTACGTCGTGGTCAGGTGACCTCAAAAAGTGAGCAAAAATATTATTCCGCTTTGTATAAAAACCTCCTACCTCGACACAGTCTTTGCATGTAGTGTTCATGTTTTAATTTTAAAAGATCCCAGTCTAAAGGCCTAATGCTGAATTATAGATCCCAGGCCCGTAGCCAGAGGGGGAGCTGGCCAGAAATTCTTTCAAAATCATGCAGTTTTTCACCATTCTGAGAATTTTTCGCATGATTTTTAGCCAAAATTGTGAAAAAGCTCCCCCCCTGGAAAAAAGCTCCCCCCCTGGTAAAAGCTGGCTACGGGCAAGGATCCATTATAATGCACCCACTATATGTCTTTATCAATCTGACATTTTCCCTTCATCAAAATAAAATAACGTTGAATTGATATATTGAGGAAGTTGTGTTTATTTGTTTTCTGACCATTTGCCCAAAAGGAAATGGCCGCCATTTTATATTTGTAGATGTCATTTTACGTTTTTTGCTATGCTATTAACAGCCATTCTCTGTCAAGTGTGAAAAATGGTGTAACTGCTTTTCCGATCCGGGATCGTAGATTTGCGTAGATTTTCTACTTTCATAAAAATACCTAACCTCACGATCCATCTCATATTCTTAGTTTATTTTTGAATAAAGAGCCCGTCTTGTACATGGCACAATTTACGATAATTGATATTTCAAAAAATACAAAATTCGAAAATTAAAATATTCATATGACGATGGATTTTTCTTGAATTTGCAGAGGAAACACAATTATATTTTATAAATTCGTAAGCGGCATCATTGGAACTATATTGGCATTTCGCAACCTGAGCAATTTTCAAAGGAATAAAAAATTAACGTATTTTCGTTAATCGTTCAATAAGTCTGGTTTAATGTCATATAAGATATTATTTATCACATTTGTGTGTGTCAAACAAACAATAAACATGTCTCCTTGGATATTAGTATTGAATTGTAAAAATAAAAATGTAAATAAAGTCAACGTTATCGTTTGAAATTATAAGCCGCAAATTATTTTGAACGACCCCCATGTCAAAAGCGATAACTTAAGAAATAGGCAAGATACGTTCATACAATTTAACATGTATAATTCTTCTCCGATGCCCTCACTATCTGACTATAGGACATTTAATATGGGTTTTCCAGAAAAGGGTGTCTAATGATCATGAATCCTCCAATACACATCTGTTTTGGATGATACATTTATATTAGACCCCATTAATCATTCCAAGAGTACCCCTTTTACTTTGACATGGCCTACTTTATAACATCATACATTATGAATGATGTTGCGAAGCAAAATATTTATTCATTTTCACTCTTTTGTATACTTTAAGGTATTCTAATGTAATATATTCCTTAAGCCTTGTTTAATTATATTAAATGTTAAGTCTTTCAATTAGCATTTTGAAAGTGCATGGACCGGGTCCTATAGCTATTATCACAGGGTGTGTACCAAATTAAGCGTGACAGGTGGATGCGCACTGTAGGTACAACACGAGGGTGATGACATTTGAGCAAACTGATGTTTTCATCGTTTCAGAAAGATCTGATCTAGTTTCTAGATATATGTAAATGTCTGTAACAACATCCTAGACAGTGAACTTGACCGTGATTTTTTATTTCAAACTTCACAAACTTTCAATGTACATAATGTATAGTATATGGTATAATGCTCGGTTACGGTAAAGTATAACACATAGGTTGGCGTTTCGATTTTACATGCAAGCTTAAACTCCCTAATATTACTTCTTCTCCTACTACGAAGAAATGTAAAAGAGAAGGATTAATACGGAGAGTTTTTAAGAAGTTTCTAACTTAAAAAAATATATAATGTGTCTAAGCTAGACGATAAAGTAAAGTCTTAGTTTTCGTAAAGAAACCGATGCGCATTCCACCAGAAGTATCTTTTTAGAATTTCTTTAGATTTGAGATTCGACCTTCATCGACCTTCTTAAGGTCAACATTTTTTTCAACTTGTTTCAAATTGACCAATTCTTTTTTCAAAATCATCTAGAAGTTCTCAAAAGTTCAAATCTGACTATAGATTTGACCTTCAATGACATTCTCAAGGTCAACAAATATTTGACCTTCACAAGGTCAAAAAGGTCTTTTTTCAACTTGCTTCAAATTGATCAATTCTTTTTTTCAAAATCATCTACAAGTTCTCAGAAGTTCAAATCTGACTTTAGATTTGAGATTACACCTTCAATGAGCTTGTCAGGGCCAAAAATTTTTCAGCTTGCTTCAATTTTTTTATTTTTAAAATCATCTACAAGTTCTCGGAAATTCAAATCTGACTAAGATTAAACTATTAATATTGTGAGCAACTAGGCGGTGACATTTTGTCATGTTAATGCCTTGTTTTCGTCTCCCACCCTCTGAATTTTCAGGATCGCCCAAGGTATTGCTTTAGCATTGAAAATGATTATGTGTGGGCAGGGGGATGGGTTCGACCCCCCCCCTTACTAAAAAACTGGCTACGGGCATGTTGCTCATATTGCATGTGACGTATTAAAGATTGCATTGGATGTAAACATTTTCATTGGAATCGATGTAAAAATATTCTGGCACTTACAATGACTTAAGATGTGCAAGCAACATTTATCATTTCGGGTAAAGGCCAAACATTCATCATAGGGAACAACAAACGGCATTCAAAATATAATATCATGAAAAAACACGCAGCGTCGGCAATGAGGGAATGAGAAACATCATTCAAACTTTTATGGTTATGTGTCGGTCATGGAAATAAAAAAGAAAGCATAGCATGTGGAATAGAAATGTAAAGGTTATATGCATCGCTATTCCCACAAAGTTATATCATGATTACATGTGAAACTGAGAGTGAAATATATTGTTTCTTGGTTTGGCAATGGCCCATTCTTTGCTTTAATTTAAATATAAACATATTTTGAACATACGTTTAATATACGAATCACTTATTTACATATTTCGTACGCACGTTTTCAATACGAATCACTTATTATTTCTCAATTTAAGCCAACGTTTAT